GCTTTTATTTATTATGAATAGCTTTCATAAAATTTTTTTGCACAGCAGTCTGTGGCTTCTCTTCTCCTTATAAGACTTTAAAGTGAAACTGATCGGCAGATACAAATGTGTTGGCGTTCATATTAAGTTACGCATTTTAATTTTATTTTGAATGCCCTGAACAGCTGGAAAAGTATTGTGACAGTTTACGCATTCGTCTGTACTATATTATGTTATCAAATCAATCAAAATAGCCCAATTTTTCGAATTTGTTTAACAAAAACTTAACATCTTCGACATATTCATCCAAAAAGTACATCTTTTTACGAATTTCATTCTTTTGTATCACCTCAGGAATATCAAAAGCATTGGACCTTATACCATGAAGCATCGGAAGAAATGTTGACAAAAGAAATAGTTCTGTAAAAAAATACATTTTAAAAAAAAAAAATGTTTAAGGTGCATCTTTAGGCTCAATTCATACTTACCAAAGAATTTGTGACGTGACATTTGTTTCTGAAACTCCACAAAACTCGGCAGTTCGCCTTTGAAGCCAGTTTTCTTTAATGTGTCAACAAAAGTGGAGAAATAAAAATTAACTAGCTCTTCGCAGTTGTGCTGACGATCTTCGGGAGACATCATCATATAAATAGAATATATTACATCGATGGTAATCGAGCATATATTGCATATTTGATAATCAAGTAACATGCAATCCTCAAAACTGTTATCTTCATTGTTGTACTTGAACATCATGTTACGCAGATGAAAGTCTCCATGGGATAAGACATAGTATCCATTGGGCTGTCGATTTTCACGATACTCTTCCATTATATCAGTGAAGAGTTTCATATAAGTATGCTCTAGGCTCTTAAAGTATGGCTTGTACTTGGTAAACTCTGGTTTTTTATCAAGAAACTCCATAAAATTACCAAAGCCCGTCGTCAAGAAGGGATCATTCATAAAGTTCGGCATTGAGCACAGGCCATGTTTGAATTCTTCCAGAAAATCTGGTGTCTAAGATATAAGCGATGCTTACTAGTTTTTCTAAATTGTTATGCGTTAGGTAATACCTCATGTAGAACCTGAAAGCTAACTGCGTGCAATTTGGCTAGCTTCGTTAATGCGCCCTTCAGTTCATCAACAGTAGCATTCCTATCCCTGACAACAGCATAACCTTGCGGCACCAGATCCTCAAATACCATGATTTGTCGCGGCTTAAGGCTGTGATAGAGACAAGGCACACATAGCCTAGTCTCATCACCAGACTTTTTTAAAATCTCCTCGAATCTGGGCAGCACTTTGGTGTACATGCCAATCTCGGTCTCGAAGAGATAGGAATCACTCAGCATTTCCTTCTTGTGCCCCTCCTCCTCTGGCATTGTCTTAATGATCAGCGACTTGGAGAACTCGCCCTTTTCTGTGGTATACGAAACATTACCACGAAACATAACGCTCGCATAGTGATCGCCTTTGCCACTCGCTGGAGACATCTTCACATTCACAACCTTGAGTTCTGGTGCCTTTTCATGCTTGGCAAGTACTTCCTCAAAGAACTGCGCGTTTAGCCACGCGGGTGCCACCAATTCATCGGCGTTGAAGCTATCATTTGTTGTCGCTGCCATATTTGTTTGCACTATAACTATATATATTATATAAGTATATTTAATAAGTATTTTTAGTGAACGAGTCAACGAAACTATTAATAATGAGCTTCTCTCTAGCGCACACGTCTTTTTAAGCGTTTTTGCCGAAAGCTTTCGAGAACCTATCAACAGCACGGAACTCTATTTGACAGGTTTTAATGCAGTTAATATTGGTTGGTATGCTGTGAAAATATTGTAATATTTTCAAAGGCCAATTACATTGAATTTGCAAACAGAAAATAAATAAGAAAATTAGAGGTCGATCGTTAAAGGCGCCCTTCCACATACATTTATCTGTTATTATACTGTTAACAGAATATTAGCTAATTGGTTCCAACCAACTGCAAAGTATCCACCTGCTTTTATTGATTAGATAAGATATATAGATTTCAAGTACCTGACCTAGAGGAAGTAAATAAAGTTTGTCGACATTCTACACAATAATGATGCGAAACAAGTTTTTATTGCACATTTATATTATTATTTTATTTATTTTATTTTTGAACAATATAAGTTAACAGAGGTCAGCGACACCAGCTCCACATGCTGATATAGCACTGAGCCGAATGTTCTTACGAGCTAACAGGGGTCAGCAAAATGCAACATAACACCAGCCGCAGATGCTGACATAGCTCTGGGCCGGATGTTCTTGCACGAAGGCAGCGCACGAGGCGCAAGCTAAGCATTCTAGCGGCCGTTGTGAAAGCACACAATAGCTTAGGTATTTTTGATCAATCTTTTGTAAATTTAGTTTTTAATGCGGCTTTCACTGAGGCACATCGGCCCAGAGACTTCGCGCGTAAATTAACTCACTCACTACGGCGCATCGGCCTAGTGTTTTAAAATTTATTATTACCCAAATAATGTTAAATATAGATAATCCGCGAGGATTATTATATAAATCTTAATTTATATATATATATATATATATATATATATATATATATATATAGTCTTAACTTACCCAAGTGTCTTTGCCAAAACAGCTGCCGGTGAAACTCGGCCAAATTAGGCAATTCGCCTGCATATTTTATTTTCTTTAAGGTCGCCGAGAAATGGGAAAAATAACTCAAACTCAATTAACTCATTACGATGATATTGGCGTTGATCGGGCGATAGCATTTGATATGGGACCCACATTACTCATCTCGAAATCCAGCAGCATGCAATCCTCTAAGAACCCACTATCTTTATTATGCTTGAACATCATGTTCCTAATGCAAAGATCGCCGTGGCATAGCACATAATACCCATTTTCCTGACGATTCTCGCGAATACTCCACAAGAGAAGCTCTAAACGTTTCCTGGTAAAAGTGTGGCTTATAGACACTCAAGTCAGGCACTTCATTCAGCATTCTAATGAAGTAATCTATACCGTTCATAAAGGGATCCTCCATTATTTTGGGTAGCTCCATTAAACTGTATTTGTATTTTTCAAATACGGCTGCCTCCTCCTTTTGTAACTTCTAGCTAACGGCATGCTACTTGGCCAGCTTGGAATAGGCGCATTTCACCTCCTCGAGAGTAGGCTCCCTATCGCGCACTACAGTGTAGCCCAAGGGCACCAGATCCTCGAAAATCATTACCTGACGCGGATCCAAGCTGCAGTATAGGCAAGGCGCATAAAGCGATATGTCATCGGATGCCTCTCGCAGTATGGGCTCAAACTTCGGCAGTATATCGGTATACAATCCCTGTTTGGAAGATGTGTGATTCGTCCAGTTGTTCCTTCTTGAAGTCCTCCAGCTCGGGCATTGTCTTAATTATTAAGGACTTAGAGGCCTTGTTGTCCGCTTGGGTTTTATATTCCACAGCGACTCTAAACATAACACTGGCATAATGATCACCCTTTACAGATTTTATAGTGCTGTGCTTCCACCTGATCATATTTTAAGTTATTTGCCAACACATTTTTTAGAAATTGTGAGTCCAGCCACGTGGGTGCCTCCACCTCATCGGCGTTAAATACATTGTTTTCATTTGACATTCTTTGATGGCAACAAAAATCTTTGTCCACTGCCAAAACTATTGTAAGCTCGACAAACAACTAATACCAAGTACTTGCTTTGAAGCTTTTTATTATATACAGCAAAATGCTCTATTTTACTAAATGCAAGCTTGCAAGCTTTTATTTTAAAATAAAAAGCTTATTGTGAAAGCTCACTTCCATTTCATGAAATCGGTTGATTTAAACAATCATGGACAATAAATTTTATAGAAAAAGCTTCCCCACTATATACATATATACAAAAAAAAAACTATCATAAATATTTCGTTAATTACAAATTTAGTATAGGGTAATTGTTTATTTCCCGTCTAACAGGTCAAAATGATTTGGTTTTTTGTCAAAATTTATGTAGCATTACATGAGAATGTTATATTGTCTAAAATCTTCCATAATTAATTACTAACGAGCAAAAAGTGCTATCTTTTGCACGCCGAAGATCTAATACCCTTGCAGACGCAACCTTTTCATAATGCTCATAGTGCTTTGCCCGTATCTAAGAAGTACCGGGAAAATAGTAAATGCCGAGTTTGGTCACGATATCTTAATAACCAAAACAGGATTTTAATCAAAAACCTGGGTTTCGACCGGTCGTTCGTATGGCAGCTATATGATATAGTGGTCCGATCTTAATAGGATTTTTCATATATTTGAGAAGTATAGTAAAACTAATAAATGCCGAGTTTGGCCAAGATATCATGAAAAACAAACAAGTTGTCCATACAACAACTTAATTTTCGACCGGTCGTTCCTATGGCAGCTATATGATATAGTGGTCCGATCTTAATAGGATTTTGCATATATATGAGGAGCATAGTAAAACTAATAAATGCCGAGTTTGGCCAAGATATCATGAAAAACAAAAAAATTGTCCATAGAAAAACTTCGCATAGAAGCAGACAGACGGTTAGACGGACAGACGGACATGGCTGTATCGACTCGGCTGTTGATGCTGATCAAGAATATATATGCTTTATGGGGTCGGAGATGCTTCCTTCTATGCGTTACACATTCCACGACAAATCTATAATACCCTCTGCAAGGGTATAAAAATGTTCTGACAGTGTTAAATAAGTATACTCTTCTGCGTGAGTGTTTACTAGTAAGGAACTATCGATAACTTTGAAGTATACAGATGTTCATTTTTGACTTGGCACTGTAAGCACGATTGGTCTTATTTGTTAATTACTTTATTTATTTATACTTTCCACCGCCAGAAACGTATTCTGAAGATTTAGCAAAAACATTTAGACCTTTCTTTTCCGATACGAAAAATTATGGTATCTTTACTTTCAGTTTGTGTTTAATTTAGTACTTTCCGTCAGAAATGTGGTATTATAGATATTTCAGAAACTGGTCACACAGTTAAGAACACAAGAGCTAACAAGTTGGCTGGCAAACTATCGTGGGACATTCCAAAACCAATTTATCAAATCAAACAATTCAAAGGTGGTGCAAAATGAACACGTCACATATAGTACTCATGATCTGTTTCATAATTGGCGTCGCTCAGACGGCGCTGGCGCTCAAAGAAGATGACTGCGAAGGTGCGTGCATAGCCGTAGAAATGTGCCGTTGATGGCCACGTATGTATAAACTGTTCTAGAACAGATTTTCACTGAAACTTAATTACAGTTTGCGTGAAGACTGTCAAACGTTTTGCCGACACACTGGACGACGCGACAAAGAAGGATTACAAACTGATTGAAACAGCATTCAAGAAGTATTGCAAGACACAGAAAAACAAGGAACACAGATTTGTGAGTAGCCCAAGGCCAATTTGCCGGTAAACAGGTTGTCTAACCAATCTATCAATAAAACACGTATATATTTTTTAAACCACGTAGTGCTACTACTTGGGCGGTCTTGAGGAGTCTGCCACAGGAATATTAAATGAACTGAGCAAGCCACTGAGCTGGTCAATGCCAGCGGAGAAAGTCTGTGAGAAACTGAAGAAAAAGGATGCACAAATTTGCGATTTGCGATATGGTATGTAATTTTCGCGTAGTTGATGACGTAGTTGCTATATTTCTATATCTTCATTTAATTGTACAGAGAAACAAATTGATTTGAACAGTGTGGATCTCAAGAAACTGAAAGTTCGCGATCTGAAGAAGATTCTCAACGACTGGGATGAGAGCTGTGAAGGTTGTCTTGAAAAATCCGATTTTATTAAGCGTATCGAGGAGCTCAAGCCTAAGTATTCGCGAAATGAACTGTAAACACATTTACTTAGCTTACAAGACACACATGCCCACTCAATACTTAGATACACCCACATACATATATTTTAGTTAATTTACAATTTTGATAGACTTTGAGAGAAAATATCTATTTTGAAATAAAAAAAAAGCAGCAAATGTGGGAGAAGACTTAATAAAACCCACAATGACCTCATACAGTTTCGCATTTTATATTGTTTTATTTACGTGTTAACAAAATTACTTTCTCAATACAAAAATTACAACAAAAATTAGTGGACAGTGATGCTAGATAATTGTAAATGTTAAGTAATTCGATTGCACTTACTACGGGCCCCATACATTTTATTTACTTAAGCTATATGTATTCGTATATGCCAAATTGGGCACGCATTTTTAAATAATTAAATTAAAATTATTAGTTAAACATATGAGCTAATTACGAACATAAGCAGTTTTAGTATTATCTACTAACAGATAAGATGCATATGGTGTATCAGCCGTGACTGGATGGTGCGACCTGGGAATCAACGACGATAGGGCTGCTTGTTGTAACGTCCACGTTCGCTTTCCTCGGCTAGATTTGCGTATTCGCTATAAACGACGCACCAACAATATGTGAGCACCGCTGAAAAAGATCAATATATTTAGTTACATTTGTCGCTTGCACAAATCTAAAAAAAAAATGGGCGTTTGTGCTGTACTGCATATCGAATAAAGTCTAACCAGAAGCATACTTTCAGGCTAAAAACTAAAAACGCGAACCAACGAATGCTAACATTCAAAATATAATTTAATGGGACTGAATGCGTATGCCGGTAGTTTTTCACTAAGACAGGACTTTATTGCGCGGTAAACTCAAAACATGAAAAATAGAGTTTTTTTTTTTAATTTGGCAGATGTACGAAACAGTAAATTAAACTGAACCATAGCTATTTGCAAGTTGAGCCTGCGTTCGCCAAATAAATTGTATCAATTCAAATTTGTATTCAGTGCTGTGGAGGATCAATTAAATTGCAAAGTTCAAGTAATTCTAATAAATAAAAAGCAGTTGCAAATACTATAATTATATCGATAGGGGGATAATAAGATGTGTCTATAACTCGGGGGATAATACTAATTGAAATATCTGGACTGCAAGCTGTTTTTTATTTGCAATGATTGGAACAAATTCAATTGTAGTCTTTGTTTTATTTACTGCTGAAGTATGCCTTTACTCGAAGGATGAGAGTCACGAATTTCGGCTATAGCTTTACAAATAATACAACCTAACATCTTGTAGTCTTTTATATGCGAGTGTCTACTGTTCTGCCACACATGCCGTTTATTATGTTTGCCATTTGGCAGCTAAACTAATTGCGCGGCAAGCACTTCGCGCCTCATTTGTCAGCAGACTGAACTCCTCCGTCCGTGCCGTCACTTGCTTTCAACATGCAGGTAATCGGCGCATGATAAATGCGCCAATGAAGTAAAAACGGCTAGCATTAAACGCCATCCGGTGCTAAAAACCTCACAAGTAGAAGCCACCATAGGCTGGTGTGGATATGCACTTACCACAACAAATCAGGCCGAAGATCAGCCACAGAACGCCCGTAAGTACAAAACCATCGATGAAGAAGACGACGCCCGTGTATATTACAGATATCAGCAGGCCAATGGCAATCATTATGCCCAGCACCACCCAAGGAACCATCAGGTAATGATTGCGCTGTAAAAGTATATATATGTAAATACAACTGGCGTAATTTATATCAGGATATATATACGCACTTTAAGAACGCCAGCGATCATTAGCAATGAAATTAATATTGTCATGCATAGATTTATCACCAGTATGATTTTTACTATATCATTTGGTATAAAATCGAAGATAATTGTCTTGAAATGCACACGTGTTGTGAATATCACTATTATCGTGATTATGGATAGCACAATGGCCAGGACTCCGGATATAACAGAGCCATTGCGTGTCGACTGGCACATGCAGCAGGAGTTAACGAGTGGCTTCGGCATTTTGAATGAGATTTATAAATTAACTGAAAGTATAAAGAAAGTATAAAACAAAAAAACAATTTATTAAAAAAGGTATAAAAAGAATTTAGGAAATAACCAATTTAATTTAAGTTCATTTACTTCAAGAAAACTTAAACAAAAAACAAGTAAGAGGTTCTAGTCGGGAGCTCCCGACTAGGGGATACCCTGAACACTCTTCTTCCAACATCAAATGAATATATATATTCCATTTTAGAAGCTATATGTCAAGTTTGGTGACTCTAGCTCTTATTATTTACCAAAATTGCCCAAAAACAGGATATCGATATCGATTTTTATCGATTGCTTGGAAACGGAGTAAGTTACGATTATCGGAAACAAACTCGATCTGCGCAGGCACTAGGAGCACCAACATCTAGCATTTCAAGTCTCTAGCTCGTATAGGTTCTGAGATCCTTGCGTTCATACATCCGGACGAACCGACGGACGGACAGACAGACTTGATCGACTTGATCGACTCGGCTACTTTATGGGGTCGAAGATGCTTCCTTCTGCCTGTTACATACATTTGGATTTTGCACAAATACAATATACCCTTATACCCATTTTTAATGGGTTCATGAACCAAAAGTTGGTCGAATTTCAGCATACAAATTCAGGTAGACAAATTTTTAATATAAGAGAAAACCATCTGAAACAAAAAAATTCCGTTTTAGTGAAAAATAAAACGAAAACTTCGGTTATATGTTTGCAACTGGGCTCGAGTTATAAAACAAAAAACCAATGTTTTTCTTTTTTATTTTTAACTCCCGCATTTATGTAAAAACGTATAATTTAATTCATCGAATTTTTTTTGCAGGGCATATCATATTAGATCGCTTAGATGTCGTTTCTCTAGATATTTTCTTCTACATACAGGTAAACGCCTGGCATTAACGTTATCATTTATATTATGGTTCGCTGAACTGTTTGTCAGCATCGTAAAAATAATGAGGTGGTGTTGCAATTTTCAGATGCATTACCAACACGTCGTTTGCTTTGCTTTGGCCAATACCACGTATCTTATCTGCCATCCGCAACAACAAATAAATATATGACGTTTGTTTTCGCAGCAGTCTTACTAACCGCGAGTATTTATGGCATGTCTATTGTGTACACCTTGACTTCATTGTCTACGGCCAAAGGTAAGGAGAAAACAGATTTCTGTGACGTCAAGAGACGCACGAACATTTGGTCAGCGCAAATTGTTTATAAAACAAATTTTATTTAAAATTAGAAAAAGCACAACAAAAAAAGCGCCTGAAATATTCAAATGTTTTTCTACACAAGAGTTATGTGTATAGTATGTGCTATACTATTGTTAAATATAGCTATGAAATAAATCAACGAATTGAACACAAATCTCCTTGGCAAAGACGCTGAAACAACGCTTACAATGTTTTCTCTTGAAATTGTATACTAAATCAATTGAACAGCGCCAATTTGCTTGCAGGAGTTTTGGAAAGCTGATATCATCTGCATGAGATACACACACTCACACACACACACACACACATACAGCAACTACACACAGATACATTTAAGCTATGCATCATCGATTGCAGCCTACGGGCATTGTCATTAAATTAATCAAACGCTTAACATGCAACGCCGACAACGGCAGCTCCAATTTGATGTTGGCACATGCAAATTCAAATTTAGCCGGTTCGTATCTATCGGATGCATAGTTACAGCTTGAATGTGCCGCCTAACAAGTTTGGGCCTGCGGCCATGCGACGTCGCTGATGAGATAATCACACGCCAAATTGTCTTGTCATACATCGAAAACACTTTACTAAACAGTCTTCAGTCTAAGATCAGGAACTATTGAATATATATATATTTTGTTTTTTGTACCAATCTCTTTTGCCAGATGGCCGTAAATTTAGTTAAGCGAATTTCCGTTGCGTTCACGTTTCTTCACACCTCACCAACAAAAAAAAGAAACAAAAAAACAAAAATTCTCTAAATAAATATGAATGAAGACGCAGAGCATGATGATCTAAGTCTCTTTACTCTTAGTCATCCTACTTAATGAATTTTGTTAAGATATTTAAAAAGAAGTTGCATTTTTCCGTCTTTTCGACCCATCAGAAAATAAACTTGCCTATTTAGTTTTAAAGTTTTGCAAGTTTTAACAAAATTGCATTATGATAACCCCTTCAAATCAAATAAAACATAAAGTTGTTTGTTATATGTAAAATATTTTGCATTTTTATATATTGTACGGGAAGTGTATACCAAATTTGGTATTTCTAGCTCATATAGGTCCGAACAAATATTTTTAAAAGCCAAGTTTATAAACCAATAGATATCGTTTTCGTGGAAACGGGCTAATCAACGTGATCAATAGGAAAATCAACGTTCCATACTTCAGGTTTTTGGCCTTTATAGTCGCTGAGGTCAACACAATTATAGCACGGACAGGCAGAACCATTCCAATTTTCAATGGGTATACAAAGAACCTAGCGAAAATCAGATGCGAAATAGCTCAAAGCGGACGGCGCAAAAGCGTGCGAAGATGTGAAACAGAATCTTGAAGAAGAGAAAAACTAAAAACACACTAAACAAATTACGCAATTAAATAGGAAAGAGAGGGGGAGACGAAGGGCTGTCGCATAAATGAGAGTAAACACTTTACGGCCACATATCAAGCACGTTGCGCTATAGTTGGGCATATCAGTGAGATCGGAGAGACTTATGGCGCGTTTTCAACGCGTTTCGCACGCGTCTTTCGGCACAACAATTTAGTTGTTTAAATAGTGAATAAATTGAATTTAGTGAAATTAATATGCGCAGTTGCCACAGACCTTCTAGGGCTTCTATATACAGTTACAAAACGCAAAAGTTTGCCATGTCTATTGTCATATGATATGCTTCGTATGTGGCAAGAGAGATTGCCCTGAATGCCCGATACCAAAGTCTGTGCTGGTTAATGTAATACCAGAGTACAGCACTTGAAGCTCTTGATGCGGCCAATTAGCTGGACTGTGAGACAACCCACATCCATTGGAATTGTGGCATGCCAACTATGTGAACCCACACACGACTGTCTAGGTGGCGGAACGCCTAAGTGCTCTCGATAGGCCGAATACATCTCGCTATCAGTTGGGCAATGGTGGTGCGCCACGCTTTCCAGGCGAATCCATCCGCTAATAGCTCCAGTAATAACCACATTTAAATCTAATGTTGACGTTAACTTCCGCTTGCATACAACTAAAATGTGCTGCCAGCTGGTGGAATGTGGTCATAAACTGCTTACAAAGCTCAGACTGAGTCAAGTTCAAGCGAACGCGGGGGCGGACAAATGCGCACGACACGAGCGCGGCACGCTGGCGACTTTTCTGAAGAATTTCCGCGGCCGCTTCGATAATTATGTGGGCTTCAGTTGGCAAGTGTTTGACAAGTGCAACTGGTTGCGCGATTGTCAGAGTGCAACGTGTTGAAGTTCCCACCCACGCGCCTTTTAGCTGCAGCAGTGAAAATGCTGCTGAGTGTCGAAAATTGTGAAAGGCTGCCAGCCAAAAGTGCTTGAAAGCGAGCTCAAAAGGCCTGGAAAGCTGCTTGTCTTTAAGGTTGCAAACAGTTGTAGCTTTTAAGATTATAGTACAGCTACCGAAATGATTTGATTTGATTGTGTAAAGTGATCGAAAGACACATTTACAAGTCAATTCTTTGAATTATTAATTTTATAATCTTAATCTGAAAGTTGCCATGACTAATAATCATGTATAGATATTATATTTATTCCCAAATACATTTCAGAGGCACAAAATATTGAGCACAAGAAATGAAAAACTTGAAATAAGACCTAAAGCCAAGATTGATTTTATGTGTAAAAATACAAATTATAATTTCCAATTTTTTTTTAAATTTTGGTATTACGCCTTAAAATAAATATATTCAACAAGCCAGTTGCCTGTTAATTAAACTCTCTTGTAATACTATGTGTCTTAACATATTAAAAAAAGCTGGAAAGAGTTGCAAATATTTCTGCCCAAAAGTTTCTAGATGCAATAAACACAATACTTTAGTTGCATCTAGACTGGCCCATTAAAATGTTAATAATTGAACAAGTAAAGCATTTTATCATCGTACCCAATTCTGACTTGATGGCCTAACGTCTAAGCAAAATCCACCCGCAGTGAAAGCCCTGAAATGCATATTGTCAATATAAATCATGTCAACTGCTCTGATTTTAAATCTAGCGAGAAGATAAAAAACGACAGACATCCCAAAGCGAGAGCCTCTACCTTTGTGGGTTAATCAAGTTTAACAAATCAACTCGAGAAAGGCGTAAAGCATAATAAGCTTGTGCAGCTAGAGCACGTGTTTAGTTTTAGTATCTTGTAGATAAATGCATGTATTTGTTATTTATCTTTAAATCATTTATCGTGTTGTTGTTCACTTTAAACTTTGCCGAACTTTTGTTTGACCCGAGGCGCACTCCGCCTCTCACACAATTTGTTTGCGCATCGACGCTTAATTAAATTTGACATTTTTTGTGCTACTTTTTACGCGCTACACAATACAAACAAAAGCGTATTGTATCTCTGTTCTTCAATTGAGATTCGATGTAGCTTAAAATTGCTCAATCTGTGCTGGCTAGTGGGCGCACATGTTTCCATCCGTTGAGCCCTGGCAAACCGGTCAAAAATCGTTCTACCAAATTTGACAAGTTAAAAGCACGCGGCGAGTTTGTATATATATATAAATATATTTTTGTTTTTACCAAAACTCGAATTGTGACTTGGCTTTTGGGAATGATAATTTTCCTATATACGTTGATTGTTTGTTAGTCTTTCCGCTTGAGGCTCTCAATCACTTGACTGGTAAATGCCACAAGTATATATCAATTAAAATTGTTGCAGCTGCATTGCTGCCTTCGATTGCCGCCTTTGAAGTTGCTGGGTGAACGAACGTTTTTCATATAAACTTTTAGCACACGCACATGGCGCTATGTATCTTTGAGATACATTTTGGCGCGTATCTGTCATTAAGACAGTGTGCGTATGTGTATCGCAATAGATTGCTGTCAACATCAACATCACGGTCATGAACAGACATTGAACGCGTTCAACAACTAAATCTAATATAATTCTCTAAGATTTTCCTTTCGCTTTGTGCTCAAGCGAAAGTGAGAAACCTATGGGAGAAAACATGATATCAAAAATTGCCATAAAAATGATTCATTTCTGAAACGAGCCAGCGCACAAACACAAACTGAATTATAAATAGTCCACAAGGTCGCGAGAATTGCGATCTCTAAAAATCTATATATTTTAGAAATAATAATATGCTTTTAGTCGGCCTCTGTTGGCTCGGGCAGTCGGGCAGTCGGGGCAGTTACCTCAGAGATGTGTAAAATGGAATTATCTGACACTATGGGCTTATTTAATGCATACAACAATAAAATGTGAATCCAAAAAGTGCTCGACATTAGATTTGTCGGGGAAGGATGAATAGAAAGTACATTTATTTTATATTCATTTATAAAAAATCACCAAAAATCTTTATTTCCCTTTCTAGATATTTGTGTACCACTGTGCCAAAGTCAACGCCTACTCCTATATATGAAGGTGTGCGGCTCTCTCGTTTATGGCATTAGAACATATTTCTAGAAATGTATTCCATTTAGTATTCCGCTATTTTATCTTATTGCGTGCCTGATTGCCTTGTAAATTTTAACCTTCACGTTTTGTTGCTCTTTCTTTTGGCATTTTAAGGGGCATACACTGCAAAAGCAATGCTTAAACGGGTATATTCACTAATATCTGGGTATCTGCCATTATTTTGTTATGCTGATGAGATTTCATATTTTTTGATAACTTTAATTTAAAACATGAAACTAACAATCATGTCGATGATTCTATATTAGAAAATTCGATATTTCGACTTTCCAGACGATTAACAGCAGCCCAAATTGCTTTGGTTCTTGGAAATATAAGCAGCAATAAGTGGAATTCCGGGCTCGTATCAGTTATTTTCAAAACCGGCTCGCAACTAGATATGCCCTACAGTACAGTGCAATCTATAGTCAAGAAACGTAAACTTTATTTTTTGTTTTTATTTCATGTTCATTAGTTTTTAATGTGTGTGCATAATTTAACCTAAAAGGGAACCTAATGAGACGATGTAGTTGCCCTTAATTGATGTACGTCCGGCGATTTTAGCTTAAATGAATCATAGTAGAATATTTTTGTCCCCAGCAACAAAATACACCATAAACACTATATATATATATATAAAATCTCCGTCACACATGAATCAGGTACGACATTATTCTGGGCTCGTCTCTTCTTATTGGGCATGAATGTGATTTTTATTGGCCACAGCTGACTGGCATATCTAAAATGTAGCTCAAAACGATTGCCAAAAATACTAATTTATGCACAAAATACGCAGGCCATGTACTTTTTTAAACAGTTTCCACATGTTATGACGTGCATCATTTGAAAGGCTTTAATATTTTTGTTTCTTCATATATGTGTACTTTTTTAGTCGGAGATCTTGAGGTCCAGAGACGTTTTCAACTCGCATGCCCAAATATAAATTTCAACATTACAGGTTGTCGATGCTAAATTCAATGTCAACACGTTCTCAAGCAGTGGGATATGGAGCTGACATCATGTCGGGCACTGCAGCAGAGCAACAGTTGAGCTGAGAGCAAAGGAAATACATATCGGACTTTATATAGTATATGCATAGTACATATGTACATATGTGTATGTGCACCCATGTCTATATAGAGCACAGTTGCAAAAGCAAAAATAAATTTAAAAAAAAAATAAACAAACAAAGTTTTGTTGTGCGTAAATTTTCATCAATGCCGTCAACAAATTGGGTCAGCCGCAATTGCACGATCAGATCCCAAACGGGAGTCAAAACAATCAGTGGATATTATTAGTAATAATATTTAATTGTGGCTGTTTTGTTTGTTTTGCTCGGCGTATTAATTATAATTTGTCGGGTTGCTGTTGCAGGCGCTCAGAAATTGCTGAGCTTTGAAACGCGATCGTGTCGAAGTCGAAGTCGAAGTCAAGTGATCATTGGATCATTTGAATATTGAAATTGCTGTCGACGACGAAAACAACAACAATAACCATACAGACAACTTTAACGACAGCGACAGCTAAATGAAATTGAATATATTTTGTATAAATAATAAAAAGAAAAACACGACTACGTCTGCGACTTGCGACTTGCGATCGTCAACGGCAGACGATCGCCTCAGACTCAAACAGCTGGGTATTGGGACTAGGAACTCGGGTAGCTCGGGTCCCCCACCAACTGAAAGCTGTACGCCTGTTATTTCAATTTCGTGGCGATCGTTTATCACTTGATTTGCATTTAGCAATCAATCGATCGATCAAGCTGCCCAATGACCAGTGCCCAGGCACGAAGGCATAGACTATATACACTATGAAATGGCAGTTGCATTCGCTTGCCAATTGGCTGCTGATAATGTCAGACACTTGGCATTTGCATTAGCATTATCCATCCGCATTAAATGCTGCCAAATATGTCGGCAGAGTGCCAATTTTAATTTCACTTACACTTTCTACTTTTGCGCGCACTTTACTTTTTATTGACAGCCTATTTGCACACACAATTAATAACAATTAATTATTTTCTTGTATTTCCAATATTTGATCATATGCCTGCCTTGTTTTTATTTTAACACGGAGTTTGGCTCGGTTTTTACGCGCGTTTCTGTTGTGGTTGCGGCGAGTTTCACGTAGCGACTGAAACCGCGCGCTGCTCATGAGAGTCGCATAGAGAGGCGATTGACAGCAACGGCAATCGCTCTCAATGTTGGCTGCTGCGACGCGGACCGCTGCGTTGATTAAGTTTTTTCTGTGGCGTAGAAAAGTTCTAAAACTAAAGGTTGCTCGCTAGTACTCAAGCTTTCGTTGCGGAGCTTTCTCTGCGTTGGGAGCTTGTAAATCTAAAAACCTGTTATTGATATTGCTCTTTGTTTTTCTATGCGCGCGTCTCCTCTATAGCATTATTAAACAGAAAACCAAAAACTTAACATTGAACATTTGTTTGTTCCACGGTATCAGTTACAACGTTTTGCACTAGAAGTTCCAACAAATCATTAAAAGTCGCTCATTACTTGGGCCGCCGGTCATAGTTGTTGTTGTTGTCATTGGATTTCTAAGAAGTCTGCTGCACATGAGCGTCTCGCACGCCATCCTGTACCAACTGCAGCCCCACTCTCCGTCCCGGCATCCGTATGCCATGGTATGAAGACTAGTCATTTAAGATACGAGCCATAGATATGATGCCAACACGCTCGGCAGTCGCCCATTTTTGGTTAGGGGTCTGCTTGCCAGTTAGTGGTTTCTACATTTGTTTTTGGGCATTTCACCTATGTATGTGTACAAATGGTTACTACTTTCCTTCCAAATCTATCTTTTTGCTCTTTTTTTACTTTTCATAGGTCGGTACACTTTGTTTGTTGCTTAGCCGACACTTTCTACTAAGTTAATTAAGCGTGAATATTTATTGATCAGAACAACATGCTAAAAAATGGATATGCCTCTCTCTGTTTTGAGGCAAACCCCTTTCAGAACAAACTATACGTATGTCGGCCGACATAAGGCACTATGTCATATTCACAGTCGGTATAAAATATTGATTTCTTTTCCACATAGCTTAATGTATCAGACTGTGTTGCTTAGCTACATTAGTTGTACGTGTGGCTAAGTAATTAAATACATTTCACATTTGCTATACATGTTATTTTTGCAAGAGTATACAATCTTCGGCACTGGGAGGATACCTATTCTTACTGCTTGACCTAAAAATGATCAATTGTATGTAAATTTGTGCTAAGCTTCATGTCGCAAAATAAAATCTCCTGGGAAGTTCACTGGAGCGCATCGATAGCGATTCTCTTTTTCTTGATACCCTATACCAATGAAATGCCTAAAAATGGGTAGCAATGTTCAAACTATCATTAGGAAGCGTCTACAAAGCCAAACTCGAAGTGCATATGGTAATATACAATAGAAGTCAACTCAATATACTTAATAAAATTGAATACTAAAGCGATCACTTTTCATGAGAATATTCGCCTAAAATTAGCTACCTTCATATCAATTCATCGGTATATATTGTCTTATATTAAACTAAAATATACTCGAGAATCCCCATGGCTCGTTTAATTAATTTGTTGTCGAGGGTATTTAAAAATATGCTACCTAAGATATATGTATTTACTTTTTGTTTGCATTACTGTGAAATAAAACTGAAAATAGAGTTATATTTCGATTTTCTTTTCTGATTTAAGATTAAATTAAAGATGTTACATAATAGTTTGTTGCTCTTATTCAAAATCATCAGATCAAAAGGTCAACTTACTTTTGTTGTAGTTGTACGGTCGATAACTAGCGGAGCATTTTACAAAAAGTAATATACAAATATAGTCTCAGACTTTACTGAGAACTGTTTTTTTTTATCCGTGGACACCAGTTATGTATTCTAAGTTTTGCATATTTCAACATGTCCAACAGGAGACCTTTTGTTGCATTAACACTATTTTTCTCACAAGCGGATAAGAATGTCTCATGTTATACAATACGCTATTGAGGCCCACTATGCAGCTTTACAAGTCTTACAGTCTTACCGATTTATTCCATACAATATTATACCTTATCAATTATTCTTAAGCTCAATGTGGATTTCTAATATGAAATATAATACTCTCTTATCGTAGACAGTCTTAATTGAATCTTAACAAGACAAGTACGTGCTAAACAAGATATACGAAGGTACATATAGGATCTGGTTGCTTTAATTAGTATGGAATTTTAATCTATTTTTCTAATTTGAGCACGTATTATCAATTTAGACACTACTTACAGATATACTATATATATTTTCGAAATAAATAATAAGACATAATATTTAGCAATGGATTGGTTGTTTTGGCTGTATATTATGTTTTATTTGAAAATGTATATATTTTACAGTAAATAATTTAGTCAGGTATATAGAGAAATAATTAAGATAATTAATTGTTTAGCAGTATAGCGTAACATTAAAGAAAACGAGCCCTTCTTTGTGTGTGTCCTCTCTAGGGGTGCGTAGTTATTGATATACGTCTGCTTTGTAGCTTGTAATTCACTTTTTTGCGCAATTTAACCAATTTGATTTGACATTGACTATCCTGGAGTCGATCGCTGGCCTCGATCGGTGCCTCCGGATTGCGACTGCTGCTTTTGCTTTGCTTTCTTTTAAAACTGACTATGCCTAACGAAAATTTTGTGTGACCTACAAAGATTGCACGGATGCACGCTGTTCTAGCTGGTACTGGAATTAACGTTTTTATTTGCTCTTCCCAGAAGCTGCAGCAGCAGCAGCAGCCGCCGCGTCCTCCTCTTTTTTCTTTTGCTTCTCTCGCATTACTTCGGCGTCCCTAAAAAATATTATAAATATTGTAGATGGTCGTACAGCCTCTCAGGCAACTTCCCACTTACCGGGCTTTGCGTTGTTCTACCGTGAGGCTATCTGTGCGCTTGCCTTTGGTCTGTTCAGCCAACTTCTTTTGGTTTTTGGCGCGCGCCAGGTCTCGTTGATTGCCACCTGTAGAAAGACTAAGAATTATTATCTAAATTACAATCACTTTCTAATATCTAAAAACGATCGCAGACTTTCCGCATAGTTACGCGTGCTAATTTTTCTAGTTTAGGTAGAGAGGTTAGAAGCAAGCATGCTACGCATGTACTCATATGCATATGTACATATTTATGTGCATATATATACAAGCGGTCACAAGTCTATAAATCGATAGTCATGCGCCAATATTAAGGTAATCAAATCATAATATTAAATTTGCAGCTTGGTTATTATTTAAAAATATACATACAACTGTTTGATATACCCACAAAATGCACAATAATCAACGAACGGCAACAAAGAAATGAAAAACGAAGTTAGCCGTCTGACTACTTACGTGTCATTTTTGTGCTCCTTTTGGGCAGCTCCTTTATTTAAACAATTTTGATCCAAGTATTATATGTTTTATGCTCTTACTCGTAAAATTTTTTGTTTTATGTTTCGTGTAGTTGTACTGTCAAACGTCAGCAGCAGTGTGTTAAAGCATCGATACTGAAACCTTTCTCGTAAAAATGCTTATCAAGTAAATATCGATAACGACAGTCAGACTCAATAAAAAAAGCATCGTTATTTATCGGTATATTAATAACGTACATATTATTGTCAATGCTTAGGATATCTAGAAAATAATTTAAAATCATTGATCAATTATTAATATTATAGTAACTTAAACAAATCGTGTTATGTATCATTTATATTAAATGTGTTGGTAAATGCGAACAAAAGTATTGCCAGCTTCAAAAAATTGTATTTACCGTTTAATCTCTGACGCGCGCTGGCATCGTTCGTAGCCTTTAGTATAGTCAGCAATTTAATTCTTAAAAGTGCTTGCTGTGCGTTTCCTATAAAATGGATTCGGATCTGATGGACTTTTTCGATTTTTCGAAGCAGTTCAAGCGGGGCACAGCACTAAAAGGGTGTATAACTGGCGACCCGAATGCCCTTACAACAGAGAGTAGGGACTCCAAGCCAATCAAACGCGAGAAAATCGGCACAGATTATGTGAACGAAATCGTAGAAAAAGAAAAGCAGCTCATGAACAAAGTAAGCATGAGATAGCATTGCGGCTTCACGTGTGTGTGTGAGAGAGAGGAAAGTTTGTTATTGGATCTTCGTTTTGTTTATTTCCTTAATAGCTCGTCGATGGTCAAAGTGTGGCGAAACGTAATCGAACGCTCGATGAATTGGACACCGATGATGAGGAGGAGAATATGCAAGAGCTGCCCAGCGTGCGCTCAGATGAAGCATATTATGAGAAATACCGATTCGATTTGAATCGCAACAAAAATCTGCCAATCTATGCGCAGCGTGAACAGATTATGGAAGCCATCAGAGAAAATCCCGTTGTCATATTGAAGGGCGAAACAGGCTGTGGTAAGACTACACAGGTATGTACTTATTCTCAGAACTCCATCTATACATCCATGTATAGCTTGCCCAATTGCTCGTTTTGTATTTCACATCAACAACTAGAAGGAAATATTAGCTCGATCAAAATAACTAGTTCACAAATGATATATAAACTTGAGCTAAGTGATCCTACATATTCATTTTGTCGCAGATTCGACGTGTCTTAGCTTTTCTTTTTTACTCTTGGTTGTATTTTTCTTTAAGCCGTATCCCTAAGTTTTACATTGGAGTATACAGTATACATATTGCCGTAGATTTGTGGCCAACATATGAGATATGAAATATTAAATAAAAGAAACTAGCATTAGTTTAAGGACTGTACATTCTAATACGAACTACGCTCAAAAATTATTACATTTACAATTAAGTTTAATTTGCAGACCTGGTCCATAGAACTAGTTTACAGTTTAAATGCATTTAGCATTCCAAATCTTTAATCACATCATCTGGCAGTTTACGCCCAAAGACCGTCGCTGAGGACATGCGTCGCTCGTGTGGATCGCGTGTTTCAGACATCGGCTGCTCAACTGTCTCTTCTGTTGGCGGCTTTTCTTTCACTTCGCCAAACATTGCCTTCTGGCGGGCGCGTTTTCTTAATTCCATCTGGTCCTGTGTCCCTGATGAGGTCGTAGGCTCCTTGTCCGCTAATAGATCGTTGATCTCATAGAAAACATTTTGCAGCTGGGTGAAAATGTTTGTTGCAGGAAAAGATGAGCGGTGCGGCTCCATCTGTTTGTTGTATGCCGCCTCAAGCTGGCAAAGCGGCTTGCAGTTGGCGACCAGCTCGGCTAGGCCATGCAGCTCCTCGCCAAGATTGCAGCCGCTTGGTTTTCGCCGCTGTTGCAAAAGGGCAGTTGTATTACTCTTCTGCTGTTTGGCTTCCGCAAAGCTCTCCAAGCTGTCGTAAGCGGCCAACGCATCCAGCGCCTGACAGTAATCTAGAGCCGTGAAGCGAAACGCATAGTCTTGGACCAATTGCCAGAATATATAGCTCACTTGCTGGGTGTCGCATTGCTCGGCGCTGTTCAGGCGTAGTTGCTCCACATAGCCGGTTAAAGACTGCCAAGTGCGAGGTGATGCCTCAATCTTGACAAAGCACTTGGTGGGCTGCTTGTTGTAGATGGCATACAGCAAGTAGATGGCGCCAATGCGTTGGGCGCGAGTCGCCTGGAATGGTTCACCGTTGGTTCGGCGACCACATGCCACACGTTTGGCCACGTGCAGCGCTGCCATGGTTGTCTCAATAACCTCGATATGATTGGTTTGCGCTGAGTAAATGTGTTGCATTTGCAACTCATGCCATGTCTGACAAAACAGTTCAAATTTGGCTTGCTTAGAGACTTCGGCAGTGCGTCCAAAACGCTGAAGCAGCTGCCAGCAATCGTCATAAACATTTTGTTCCATTCAACGTTAATTATTTGGTTTCGTTTTGTTTAGGTCTGTTGTGCTTGCACATTATAATTTGTTTATTATTGCAGCACACAGCGTTGCCATCTGAGCGAACTATCGTTTTAACTCTCTTAACTATGGCAATCATTTTTAAGTTTTTATCGATGATTGTGTTACACATTTTCCACGCCAGGTGCCGCAATATATTTTGGATGAGGCATGTAAACGGCGCGAATTTTGTAATATTGTCGTTACGCAACCGCGCCGCATTGCAGCTATTTCGATTGCCAATCGTGTTTGCCAGGAGAGACAGTGGCAACCGGGCACTGTTTGCAGTTATCAGGTTGGTCTACATCGACCGTCAAATGTGGAGGACACGCGTCTATTGTACTGCACCACAGGCGTTTTGCTGAACAATCTCATCCGCTTGAAGACGCTCACGCATTATACGCACATTGTCCTGGATGAGGTGCACGAGCGTGATCAGGACATGGACTTCTTGCTGATTGTAGTGCGACGTCTGCTCGCGTTAAATTCACGCCACGTTAAAGTCATCTTGATGTCGGCCACAATTGATACGCGCGAATTTTCCAAATATTTTGCCACCAGTTCAGCCTTTCCGCCGGTGGTCACCGCCAGCCATGGACGCAAATATCCGCTGGTCAAATACTATCGCGACCAGCTGAAAAATATTCACTGGAAGGATGAGCCGCAGGAGAGAGCACCGGGCATTGGACCTGAAGGCTATGCTGACGCCATCAAAATTCTTTTGGTTATAGATAATATGGAACGCAAGGCAGTCGGCCAATCCCTACAGTCCTATGAAGAAGCTAAACGCACCGGCTCCGTGCTCATCTTTTTGCCGGGCATCAATGAGATTGACACTATGGCGGATCATATAACCAGCGTCATGGAAGAGAAGTAAGTAAACAAAAACTTGTGCTAGTGTACAATCGAATGAAATAGCTCTCGAGGACTTTAATTAAATAAATCGACAAGAAGAAATGTATAATGTAAAAAAAATACTAGTAAAATAGAGAATATCCAAGTGAAATAGCATTATATATAATTATAGATCTGCACCGTATTTGCACCCTGTATAATATATGTATAATCCCCAAAGTTAGATTACTCGTCAGATTCCCTTTAGTTATATCATTCAAGTTCTATTTAAAGTGTAATAAGTTGCTGTTCATCTATTTTTGTTTCGACACAGTCCCAGCATGATAATCACCATTGTGCGCTGTCATTCGTTGATGGCGCCCGAGTCGCAGGAGGAAGTCTTTCAGCCCCCATTGCCTGGCCATCGCAAGATTATACTGACAACCAACATTGCGGAGAGCTCCATAACTGTGCCGGATGTCTCCTATGTAATTGATTTTTGCCTCACCAAGGTGCTGCACACCGATACGGCAACCAATTACAGCTGCCTGCGTTTGGAATGGGCTTCCAAGGTTAATTGTCGTCAACGTGCTGGACGCGTTGGTCGCCTGCGAAGCGGACGAGTTTACCGCATGGTCTCTAAAGCCTTTTATTTGGAGGAGATGAAGGAGTTTGGTATACCTGAGATGCTGCGCTCGCCGCTTCAAAACTCGGTGCTCAAAGCCAAAGAGCTTGAGATGGGAAGACCTAGTGAAATTCTAGCGCTGGCCATGTCACCGCCAAATCTTTCAGACATACAGAACACGGTATTGCTGCTAAAGGAGGTAGGAGCCTTGTACACTACAGTTGATGGCGTTTACGAGGAGCTTGACGGCGATCTTACCTACTGGGGTACAATCATGTCACGGTTTCCGCTTGACGTTCGTCTGAGTCGCCTTATCATACTGGGCTACGTCTTCAATTGCCTGGAGGAGGTCATTGTTATAGGTAAATGGTAAACCCAGACAGTGAACAGCCTGTTCAAGAAATTATCTTATTATAGCTGCTGGCATGACTGTGCGCAGCTTGTACCTGACAGGAAAACGTAGGCAATTGAATGATGCCTTTTGGATGCATTACATCTTTGCTGATGGTTCCGGGTCCGATATGGTTGCTATTTGGCGTGTGTATAGAGTAAGCAACACATGTGAGGAAGCTTAAGTATTTTCTATATCTGTTGGTTTATTCCAGATCTATTTGAACATGTGCCAGGATCGAATGCTTAAGGAGTCAGCAGAACAATGGGCCAGACGCTTTAACGTTAATTTGCGCTCGCTCAAGGAGATGCATTTGATGGTGCAGGAATTGCGTCAGCGTTGTGCATCTGTTAATTTGCAGCCCTTACCCTATGGAACTTGCCAGATGTGGGATGATCGCGAAAAGTCCATAATTCTTAAGGTTATAATTGCCGGCGCTTTCTATCCCAATTATTTTATGCGCAGCAACAATTTAAATGCTGACTACGATCGCAGTTTGTTTCAATCTATTTGTGGCAATGACCCATGTCGTACCGTCTTCTTCACCCACTATGAGCCCCGCTATATGGGCGAATTATACACACGACGCATTAAGGAGCTCTTCTTAGAGGTGAAAATTCCACCGGAGAGCATGGACGTTACCTTTCTGCATGGCTCGGAAAAGGTGTTTGTCACATTTAAGTCGGACGACGATGATATGGACACCACAAAGGTCGTGCAGGTGCCGGGTCGCGTCATGACCGAGGTTTACAAAGCAGTACGCATGCGACTTGATAACCAAAATCGTCCATTGCGCGTTATGGAGTAAGTTTAGCCAAGTTAATTTGACAATGAATATTAAACCATATAATAACTAATATTACCGTTTGGTTTGACAGTCAAAACTCGGCCCTTAGGTACGTGCAGGAACGAAAAATTGGCGTGGTCAATGAGTGCACCTGGTTTCCGCCATCCAATCAATGGAATGTTGAGCTGCTTACGCTTCCATCTGTCTTTGCCAAGAACATTACTGGTCTTGTTACCTATGTAAGTGTACTTTTATTATCTTTATTAATAATTAATGTAAAAATACTTGTCGATATATGTCAATGGCAATATGCAGTAATAACAATACTGTAATGGTCTTGTAATCTATTACAAGCCGATATTGATGCCTTGCAGTCTTGTTGTCAAGTAAATATATTAAATTTTAACTGTTCAAAATGCAAGGTAATAACTTTCTATTAAAGCTCTCCCCAAATGGTCGCTTACAACCTTGATAGCTTACCACTTTAGCGTGTCAACCGTACCAGTAATGAATGATCTAGCTGTTATTCTTGGTTTTAACTCTCATGTTATGTTCGTGGTGAATAAGGCTAGAATTGTATTAGGTTTCATCAAGCGATGGTCAAGGGAGTTTGTCGATCCATACGACAAAGACCCTTTTTATATGTCTGGTACGACCTTATTTTTAAGTATTCTTGTGTCATCGCCATTACATTCCATCCACCAAGACGGAATCTAATCTGGACAGAAGTAATTATTGTTATTTGGACTTCGTGGTTTAAGCTGGCATTCTCGTTTGCGGTTACCGTCATACTTTAGTAGACTTCAAATGATTAATCTTCCTCTTTTAATTTATTGTAGAACTATGCTTGGTATAATATTTATTGTTAAGCTAATTTCGACTGAAATCAACTCTTCTGAACGCACGCCATGTAACGGATTAAATTATTTCTGTTTTTTATCTTGCAGATTGTAAGCTGCGGCAAGTTTTATTTCCAGCCACGTGCCCTCGCTGAGAGTATTGCGAGCATGTCAGAGATATTCAATGGACCGCAGCAGCTGAGCTGTCACGTGCGGAATGCGAGCGCTGTTACGAAGGGTCTTCAGCTGCTGGCCAAGCGTGGACACCTCTTCCAACGCGCTGTAGTCTTAAGGATAGAGACGCAGACTAATGGCCATCCCAGGTTTCGCGTACGTTTCATTGATTACGGAGATGTGGCAGTACTGCCCATGGATCAGTTGCGTCTGATGCCGCATGAGTTGAAACGCGACTTTGATCAGTTGCCGCCGCGCATGTTCGAATGCCGCTTGGCGCTGGTCCAGCCGTCGACGGTGACAAGTTCGTATAACCGATGGCCCAAGGCGGCCAACGATATGTTGATCTCGCTTGCCAAATGCGGTCGTCTGGAGTTGGAGGTCTATTCGCTGGTGAATAACGTGGCCGCTGTTTTGATACACATGCGCGATGGTGTGCTCAACGATAGACTGGTGGAACGCCAGTTAGCTCGACGTGCCGACGAGGACTATATGTCGCGCAAGGATCACGACTTGCGTATACGCAAGCAGGAGGCCAAACGTAATATTCCCGTCGCAGAGCAGGAGCGCATCAATGAAGAGTATCTGCGCTTTGCCCAGCTTCCAAAGGATGTGGATTTGGAGCCGCCAACTATAGATAAATGCAATCTCAGTATACGCCTTAGGGGACCATTCAGTCCGCTCGAAAGCAGCATGAATTCAATGCTTCGTATTGGGATGTATAAGTCGGTGACAATTGACAAAGACTCGGTGAATGCTGTACTGTTGGATACCGATCCACAAGATCGTCACGATCAGATGGTGGTGGCTGCCTCTGTGACCGAGACAGACAACACTGAAAGATTGACGGCACGCGGCACAACTTTAATGCCTAATATACATGGCTTCGGTGCACTCATGGCCATGCTCTTCTGCCCCACCATGCAAATCAAATGCAATAAGGATCGTACAAAGTATGTTTGCATCTTGGCCGGCCTCGGCTTCAATCCCGAAACTTTGGAGCCGTATTTCGCAGAGCATGATATGGTCATCAATTTAGATGTCGCCATACTTAGGGATGATATCCGAATTGTAAGTGTATTATAAGAATGATGGAGATCTTTCATTTAGTTCTATAAATACAGTATTTAACAAGGTTACATTATTTTTGATTCTTACAAATCTTAAAACTTATGTCTTAGCATAAACCGCATGTTTACTTATGGATTCAATATTTGCATTTTAGATAAACCAAATGCGTTATAATATTGACAGCATGTTTTACAATTTCGATGCCAACGAAATGCCTTCGGTGGGTACGGAAGATCGGGTTGTCATATTCAATCAATTGCGTTCTTTATTAACTCGGTTTGTGCACAAAATCAAAATCTAGCGCTTCCCAACATTAAGATTGTAAATTCTTAAAACCTTTTTAATAGATTGCTTGGCAAGGATCGGAGTTTTATTGAACGTCACGTGTCAAATTCAGAATATCTTTGGGAAGACATGTCTGACCTGGAGCCACCTTCGGAACCATATGGCAAGCGTGCTATATTTCCCATGCACAGCTCATATGATTTGGAGAGTGAGAATTTGAGCAATTTGTTGGAGCTACAAGCGAATTGCAAGCAACTATACGACTGGCGAAACTTGTAAGTGTCCCACAGTTTAAATTAAGATTTGATTCAAGAAACAGATTCCTTTGCAGCGAGGGTAATTTGCCGACCCAGGTATGCAGACTGTGCAACGAGTCGCTCGAAAGTGTTGCCGAGTTGCGTTTGCATTTGCTGACTCAACTACATCGGGATCGGGAGAAGCAAGTTGGCTATAAGCAGCAGTAATATAAAAATAAGTATGCCGCAATTTAGGTATCCTAAAGTGCACTTCACGTTAAGTTTGTGATTGACAGTCTGACATAACAATTATAGTTTTATACCTAAGTTTCCTCTAATGTTTCAAGAGGTAATTCAAAGTTATTCGAGCAAGTTAACATTTAAGCTAATGTTATTAGAATTTAAAAGCTTAACGAGGTCAGTTAAGTTAATTGAAATAAGTTTCATTTAATATTACCGATGACCAAAAAAGGGTTTCATGTGAAAATCATTATTGTCTTATTTTTCTTAAAACAAATCTAATAGAACTTAACGAAAATGTATGATATTATTTTGTCGTTTCTCAAATTTATAACAATCATTTAAATAAACGCAAGCTATGTTGAGCAAAACGATTTAGAAATATCCAAATGAGGATCCCAATAAGTATGCTGTAATTTATAGAAGCTCTGAAGCCGATATGCGTCAGCGTGAATTATAATAGAAGCACACATATAATTATTATTAAGTTTCGTTTTATTTGATTTTTTTTTTATCCTTTATTGTGTTATTTTTTAAAGATCGCTGCGCTGTACAAGCTTAGTTTTCGTGTGCTCTTCTAGGAGGCTTTTTCATAGCGTTATTTTTACTTTAGTTATACTTTATAATCATCCCTATGTAAGAAGTACTTCAGATACATTTCCCACAGGCGTCGGCGTAGATGTCGGTGTCGGTGTCCCTCTCGTATCCAGATCGCACAGTGTGTAATTTTGCATGCGATTTAGTGGCTTGCTGCACAGACCGCACATTTGATGCTTATAGACGCCAAAAATCTCGAAATTCAAGATGTTGTACAAGTCGAATTGAATGGTGGCGCTTAACTTGGTGCACTCGACGATCAGAAGGTTTTGTTCGTTGAGTTCCACGCTGCAGCAAAAGAAAGAAAACATTATTTAAAATCCCTTAATAAGCGAGAGCCAGGTGCTGGCTAACCTACCGAAATGCGTAGTCACTGTCATCGATTGGCCATTGATATGGTTTCTGGCGCACATCATGTGGTGTTTGTGCCTGATTTACGTAAATGAAGACAGGTGCCTCATCCACTTGACTGCTATTCCCGGCACGTGAACGTATGTTGAAATAGTTGGGGCCAATGTGTACACGTAGGCCGTAATTGCTGGCCAGGCTCTGAGCGTCCGGTGAAGTGGTTAGGAAAACAGCCATTTTCGGCAGTGGGGAACAATCGGCCACCAGCAGAGTAAGGCAATCCGGCTGTGCAGCAATCTCGGCCAGATTAATGAGATAATCATCGAATGAATTGATCATTCCATTGATTACTGAGCAGGAACGCTTTAAGCCCGAATCATAGGTCAACTCGTGCGATGCATCAAACTTAGAGTCGAGCCTGTAGAGGAACGGTATGTGATATATGCGCCAATGGACTCCATTTACCTCCACAGTTAACCAAAAATGATCGTGCGGCGTGTGCATCGTTATGTTAATCTGTTGGCTCATATGCAGGCTATCCACCTTGTGGGCCGACAGGGCGGATACCAGATGATCCAGACGCGTCGACCACAGCTCAAACCAGGCGGGCATCTAAAAAACATTGATTAATCCGATATTCAATTTGCTCAGTTCCCGATTCAATTATTACATTATTAAATTTAAGATCCACGTCATATTGTGTGATGGATGTGAAATTTTCAAAGTTGCTGCGCTTGCAATACTTCGATGTGGGTATGGGCGAGAACTTGAGCACCTCCTTGGGACAGAAATCGGTGTCCGTCAGCGAGATTTTGTCTGAGCGTAAGAACGCGCGTGCATGCTCCGACGGCTGCAATAGAATGGAACACACATCAGTTGCCACAAATGTTTGCAACATAGTTAATACTTACGCCTGCGCGTGCAGCAAACTGCACCTTGGAGCCGGTCTCAGGGCATTCGCCATTGTCGGCGGCCAATCCAAAGACCACATACCCATTGAGTGTGTGCGGGCGTTTGGTGAAGACAAGAGGTTCATAGGTCAACTTGGAGCAGGCCTGCAAGAGAGACAGTAGCACACAAAGTAAGCTAACAAGTCAACAACGGTTTCAAGTGGCTGCCACTGACACGCACCAAGTGGCACTCATTAGCCAACCTGCACCCTGTATAAGACACTTCAAGCAAATACACTGCTGGTCATATCAAAAGAATCAGCATGTTGCAAGGATTTGGCTTAGAGCAGAAGCCATAGAAAATTCTTTCAAAAGCAATACATTTTCTTATATAAAAAGCGTTTTTTTTTAACTTTCTGTAATCACTTTAAATTATATCTGAAAATTAGCAATATTTTAATCAGTCTTAAAACTAAAAGTATTTGTGATGATTGGAGAAAATACTTTAAAAGGAAAATCAAGAATTAATATATGATCAATCACATAATAATATTATAATAAAATTAACAATAGTAAAAACAAGTAATTTAAAATAAATGGTACACTCTATATTTATATTCTTGAAAGCGTCAAAAGAGTAGTTATATTTTTGTGTTAAAAATATGGTTGGAGAGACGTGTTTTTGGGTGGTTTGTGTACTGTGAGGCGGAGGGTGGCTCCGATTACCATGACGAAGCGTGAGGCATGACACAACCACAACAACTGCGGCAACCATTAGTCTACATGTATCCTGGTTGTCTGTCGTCGGGTCTGCTACGCTGCTCTCCAACCAGCCCGTCGTGCCACTTTATTATGCAACAACGACAGCAACAACATTGTCAGTTGGCGCACGAGCCACAATTGCTGTCCCACATTTCTATTACGGGGCAGAGGGTGCCAGGCGTTAAACGTCGCCAGTTTGATCAATATGTTCCGGGCAGGTTTCAGTTTTAGAAAGCAGTCAGCTACAATACGTTTCAGACGCATTTCTCACATCATAAATTCAGCAGAAAATTATTTTTTTTTTATTAAGAAAGTGTGGAAAAATCAAAAGACTCTAAAGCCCGTCAGGCGTGTTGGTTTTCACCGCTTTGGTTTGGAGCATTCAAATAGTTTTGCGTTTCCCTTTTTTAAATTTTGGTTTTTTTGACATTGGTTCAGCTGATTCTGAAAGATGACTTCGGTAAGAGTGAAAGAGAAAATATAGATTGGCTGGGTAGAATCTATTAATAGTCTCTTTGCAGATTGAATCAAAACGCGTGCAATATCGCAAGTACCTGGAACGGGCGGGAGTTATTGATGCTCTGAGCAAGGCGCTGATCAAGCTCTACGAGGAGCAGAACAAGCCTGAAGATGCTATTCGATTTGTGCGTAAGTTTATGTGCGAAAGCTGCCCGGACGATGCCCAATACGACTTGATGAAGAATGATTTGGAGGAGGCCAAAACGACAATAGCTCGTCTTGAGCAGGAATTGGAACGTCTGCGTGGACAAATGTAAGTGGAGCGTACGAATATGAATTGATGTAATCTAAAATTCACTTGGATGTTATTTCGTTATGCAGCAAGAAATCACCTGAGGAATACCAGGAGCTTACCATGGCTGGCTACAAATCGCTTATTGACGACGAAGAGAACGTCAGCTCTCTTCTGCGTAAATATTTGACGCCCGAACTATTAGAGGAGTACATGCTGGTGACCACGTCGTCACCAGTGGATGCATATCTGTATGATTGCGCCGTGTCTGGCTTTGAGCATCACGACTCGGCTGTGGGCATCTATGCGGCGGACGCCGAGAGCTACGATGTGTTTGCCAAGCTATTCGAACCGATTATCAGGGAGTATCATGGCCAGGAGGAGAACGAAAGCGATGTCCTGCAGAAGGACATCGACTGGGGAAATGTGGATGAGATCGAGAATCTGGATGCGGAACGCAAATATATATTATCTGCACGTATTCGTATTGCCCGCAACATAGAGGGCTTGCCGTTCTTCGCAAAGCTGACGGAGAAGCAACTGATCGAGGTGGAGGACAAGGTGCGTGCCGCAACGGAGACCATGGACGGCGAACTGATAGGCACCTACCTGACGCTGGCTGATATTGACTCGGAAACACAGCAGGAGATGGTAAAAAGACATATACTGTTCCAGCGAGGCGATCCATATCTACAGACCGCTGGCTGTTACCGCTTCTGGCCCACCGGACGCGGTGTCTACCATAATCCTGCCGAGACGTTTTTGATTTGGGTCAACGAAGAAGATCACGTGCGTATCATATCAATGGCACAGTGCGGAGACCTTGGCGATGTCTATCAACGCCTCGTCACCGGACTGCAGGAGCTGGAGAAGAATCTAACCTTTGCGCGCCACCCGAGCTACGGCAATCTGAGCGCCTGTCCCACTAATTTGGGCACCACACTGCGCGCCTCCGTGCACATCCGTCTGCCTCTCTTAAGCAAGGATGAGGAAAGATTAAAGGCAATGGCAGAGGAACTTTCCTTGCAGATACGCGGCACTGGTGGCGAGCACACCTCCATCGAGGATGGCGTCATGGACATCTCGAACAAGCGTCGTTTAGGCTTCACCGAGTTCGAGTTGGTCAAGTCCCTTCAAGACGGCGTTGTGGCCCTCATCAATGCCGAGGAGGAGCTTGAGATCGCCGGTCAGGAGGGCTAGTCTCGCCCAGCGATAGCAACGAAACACAACGTGGACTGAATTTGGGGCTGGATGTGCGGTTTTACTCTAAACAAATTGGCTTGTCTATCATATTGTTCAAAACAAAAAACATAAATATTCGGTTTAATAAATTTGAGCCCCCTGGAAAAATTATTAATATCACGTGTGAAATGGTCGGTGGTTCGGTTCACACCGACTTACTGGTTTATGTGCACGTGAACCTGCTTTTAAAATTTATGAATGGAACTGTCATTTCGGGATTGATCGGGATAGGTGCACAGTCGTAGTTAATATGTCTACCACTTACTTTCCAATCCTCTTCATCGTCCTTTGAGTTGCGCTGCACCTTGCCGGTGACCTTAAACCAACTGGATTTGGTTGAGGTTTGAATATCCACGATGACGTTCCATTTGTGAAGGGACTCCACAATTTGTGTCTCATCTGTGTGCTCCAGTGTGAATTGAATTTGCTTGCCTTTTAGCTCCGATGTTTTGAGCACATCCTCAACGCAGATATTGCCATCAATCTGTAGTTGAATTAGTAGGGGTTACCTAAAGCCTAAATTTGGTGAACTCCAAACACTCACCCTGGTGGCATTTTCATTGTACATTAACAGGGTAAAGTTGCGATTATGTCCCAAGTGTATGGAACTGAGCTGAGTAAAGCCAAACGTGTACATCATCAGACTGACGATCATGTTGCGGGAGAAGCCACTGCAATGACAGGGTAGAGGGAAATTGATCAGTTTTGAATACAACATTATTTTTTTTGGGTTGCTCTACTTCTCTATGAACTCGGACTTGAGCACCATGCCGCGGAATTTGATTAGTTCATTAAGATTTATATTGACCTTCAGTTTGACTCCCAAGTCTGGCATGGCATAGCTTAACGGCTGGAACTGTAGAAGTGGGTTATAATACCAAATGTATATGAAATTATTAATTATAGTTAGTTGCTGTGCTTACCACTTCATTAACACGCTCTGGATACATAACCTCTTCGAATGGTGCGGCGGCTGTTTTGGTCATCAGGCCGCGAGTTGTGGTCACGGCTCGGGACTTAAAGGACAGCCCACTGGTCAGGTTCTGGGGACGCGTAAAGCTATACCGGGCACACCTGCCACTCTCATTTAAGGTCAGCTCACTGCTGAATGGTATGTAGATGAGAAAGCCCTGCTCTCGATTGATTTCATGATCGAGATTAAGGAACGGGTTATAGCTGCGGCTGCGCACCGAAGCATACGACGAGTAGCGTGCATCGATTTCCAGAGTGTGCTTCGTACCAGGTGGTGTTCGGTGCTCCGTAATATTGCCGCGCAGCGATGTGAGCACCGTTGTCTGCAGCAGGACATCGGAGGATGTGCCCAAGACAGTGGGTACCGAGTACTTGTTCATAAATGGCCAACGCACTGTTTGCATGTTAATGTGACTATCGGTGCGGATCAGAAGTTGCAGACGATCCAAGACTAATCGGGTAAAGTGAATAGAGATAGATAGATCGATCGAGAGAGCGAGAGAAAAAGAGAGGGAGGGAGAGAGAGAGAGAGAAAGTTTTGTTTATTGTAACTGGTTTTACACGACTTTTCATGGGCTAGATATTTATTGTAAGCATCCACTCCCTTGTGAAAGGCGTTTCCAAAATCGGTGAAACACTTAATGACTGAACTGGGAAATTTCATTTTCCGCGCTGTAATTATCTGTTAATTGATGACGGGTTTTGCAAAGGCTTTAATACTCGTTTGCAAAGTGAAGAATATATTCACGTCGTAAAGTATCCGTCTACCTGTCCGCCTAAACGTTTGTTTGCCCATATGCATATCTGAACGCCGGCTGTCCGACTTTTGCCCGCCAGTCCATTCACACGTCTGCTTGTGCGTATAAAACCAAAACTAATAATATATATATAAGTCTGAAATTTAGAACGAACTCTACGGATATTTCTTAATATTTTTCCTACGCTTACTGGAAGCGTGATAAATTGCAAAAATTCATATCTGGTGTGTAGCCTCTATTAAGCTGTTGTTGGATTGTAAATTGTAAACATATTCGCTTGCAACCTATCGGTAATTGGGTAAACAAAAGAATTCCTTTTGCATCAATTTAAACTCCTTTTTCAGCTGTGTGAAATTTCGTGGGTAAGGAAGGGAAAACTGATTCTCTCCATAGATATTATTTGGCTAACTAAACATACTCACTGTTATCATAGGTCAGTTGCTGAAACATGCGCTGATTTAGATAGTAGGAGAGCACAGTTTTGCCTTCCATTTGCAATATGAACTCAATGTGCAGATTCTTTGAGTTGACAATGGGAGCTTTTAGCATTGCCAGCAATGTTTTAATGCTCTTGTGAGTAAACGGATCAGAGCTGTTGGATTTGGACTGCACGGTCTGCCAAATGGCATCGGGTAGGCCACGCGCCTTAATGTACAGCTGAAAGAAAGAAATTGCGAATTAAAAAGCAGACCTTGAATATGTCTACGAGTTTAACACACCGCCAGCTGACCCGTAAATTTGCCCAGTGCCTCAGTGTCAAACTTGAAATATACCACGACGGGCATATCCGACTTAGGATCGCCGACTAGGAACGTTTGAAGCATGGCTCCAATGCCGAACTTTGAGTCTCGGTAATCGAATATGTAATTGCCTGTTACCCAATAGCGGGGCTCCGGTTTCTGGGGTAGATGACGATGCATATAGGAAAGCAGGCGACGACTGAAATGGAGAGAGAGAGAGAGTGAGAGAGGGAGAGAGAGATTGAAAGCTTGAGGAGTTAGAAACAGAGGAGTTAGTATTCCAGATGAATACAGATCCTTGCACTTACAGATGCTGATAGCATGGATATGTTGTCTCTGAAATGCTCGTGACTGTTGTGCGATAATAGTTGATAAGATGTGGATCGGTTTCGCTTTGTATAATGCGATGAATGCTGATCAGTCGCGCAGCCGTTGGATTTGAAATCAGAAGCAGGGTGACAGCAGCGACCCGCAGCTCCAAACTAGCGTTACGTGACTCAAAAATGGGCCAGTAGATCTCGTAGATGCGTTCAGCACGCTTGTCGGCCAAAGCGAGTGTGGTCCAGGCAGCCATAAACCTAAGATCCTCATTGCCATCCTCCAACACAATGGGCTCCAGATAGTTGGCCACATTGCCCAGCTGCAAATTGCTAAGGCCCTGTAGAAACAGCATCTTCTGTTCATAGTCACGATCATCTGCGGTTGAAGATAATTGGTTGATAGCTTAAAAGTCTTATAGGATAGGTCGGAAGCACTACTCACTCAAGTACATATTGAAATACTTTTGGACATATTCCTCAAACTGATCCTTGTCAATGCCACGCGCCACATAGACGTTATAAACGAGTGTGGCAAAGCTTAAAATTGCCGCCTGCCGCACATCAGGGCGATCGGGTCCGATGTTGAGAAAGTCCTCGCACTCCTTAACCAGCTCCGCAGATAGTTCAAATATGTGGAACGGCATTGGAATTAGCAGCTGCACCGCAATGGGTGACTTAATAGATTTCTCAATGACCAGATGGCGAGTTAAAAATACTGAGGCTTTTGTCCCGATGCGCGGTATAATCTCGTGAAAAATATTTCGTATTGTCTCCTGCCGATACGAAGTACCAATGTCCACTTCCGTATATAGTTTCTTTAGCGATTCAAAGTCCATTTCACTGAGCAGCTTGATCACATCGGACAATGTGGAGTCGTAGGGCTCATTGAATTTAAAATCTGTACTCTCCAGTGCCTCGGCTAGGTTGTCCAGCAGGCCCGCTGCGGCCGAGATCAGAGTTTCCTGCTGCTGTGGATTGCGTCCACCGGTCGGATCGTTGATTTCCAGCGGTTGCAGTTGCAAACTTGATATTTCTGTAGCCATGGATGTCTCAATATCAATGAGATTGTCGATGGGTGTTTCATTTTGAAAGTTTAGCAAAAGCCTGTAAATAAATAAGAGCTTAGCAATTGCCATATGCCAAGATTAAAGCTCAACTTACTCCGAGTTGATGTATTGCGCCTCGCCCGTCGACTCAAAGGTGTGGATTAGCGTAGTGCCCTTGGCATGCGCCATGCTCAGGAAGTAGCCCGTCTCATTGTGTGGCAGTATGCCGTAGATGGCCTCGTTGCCAATGATCACGCTCTTCTGATGATCAAATTCACATGTGTTTGGGGGAACATTGCTGCGAGTAACATGGATAGCTTCCGAATAAGGCACACAGGTCTTGAGCTCCGGCGTTTTCCGTATGGATATGTAGTTTGTCTTGTTGGAGACAAAATATTCGGTCTGGCACTGGCCGTGTATGCCCGTCTGAAACATAGAGATGCAGCTTTAAATTAAGATCATTGGGATATTGTGATAGTCAGATCTCTAACCTCATCCACCACAAAGGCTCCACTGGACTTGATTTGAAACTGCAGTGTGCTGGCAATGGCGCGCTTGAAGTTCATCGACCAAATGGGATCGCCTTCCTTGAACACGACATGGGATATGGTGCCCTCTCTGGTCAGTATGATCTTGAAGGGCTTATATGGGGGATACATTTCCTTGTTCTGTAGAAACTTTTCGCCCGAATTGTTGAGCGTTACATCGTCTATGACCAGCTGGATTGTGGTTGCGCAAATGAAAGCGAAGGCGAACAATTTGTTATTATGTACAATTGCATATATGTATAGGTCGGGAAATCCCGAGCCTCTGTAATCTCCAGGCTATACACGCTTGCACCCTGCGACCAATCAGCTGTCTTTACTGATAGACTACGCTCCGTTTATCTTAATACAAACAATTCGACATATTTGACATGCCGAAGATGAAATACCCTTGTTGACATTCGGCTTAAAACTACATTAAAAGTCCCATCCCACCAACAGATAAACTGTCCACAACAAAGAATCAACTATGGGAAAAGTTTGCATAGAAATACACATGGTTACACCAACTAGGCTGTTGATACTGATCAAGAATACATATACCTTACAAATTTCGAGAATTTATCATAACAGCCTCAAGAAGGGTATCAATAATTAGTCAGCCTTAACGCGGCAAAAGCGGGAAGGCTGACTGATATTACATATGGCAGACACATGTCTACGACTGTTGATAAGCATAGCGCCGCTTAAGATCCCCCACTTCCACAGTCAAAACAATCTAAGCTGATTACTCCGCATACATATGAATGTATAGTATATACAATATTCGTCTGTGTGTTTATTTATGTATGCCTATATGCCTGTGTGTGTATGTGTAGCATCATTTTATCTGTCTCGCGCTGGGCCTCAATGAAAGAAGTTCACAGCCGAGTTCAGTTCATTGTGCACTGGGACTGTGTGAAAGGTTAAATTGTTTTTAATTCATCTGCGAATTCTTTTGCACAGTGTCTGCAAAAGCATGAGCCTGGGGGCATCATCTGCACTTCTGGGAATCAACTGGGCGCTGAGAGCTCGCACTGCTCAAGCTGATTGGATTGTGCAAATTGATCATGGAATCAATCAAAATTTGTTGCTATTTTGATTTTTCATTTAATTGACTACAAATATGTACAAAAAAGTGTGCTATGAGAGTAATATATATACTAATATAGTATTATCAGATACTATACATATATACACACATATGAACATATTCACACTCTTGTTACATATACGATGTAAACAAAATAAATATGTGCGTGTTTCACGAAACTGATTAATTCTGGTTTATAATACTTAAAGGGCGACACAGTTCAGCAACATTTGCTATGATTTCTAGATCTCTATACATACACACAAATGCACAGTATACTTTCGTATTTCCCTGACCTTTGTAGACCTGAGCTTGATAGAAACACATATGTATTGCACTAAAGATATTAAATATGAAAATACAAAACTATTAATGTTATTATATAGGTTATATAGTACATGCAAACAACTAAGGATTTTAAAGGAATGTAAGCCAAAGTAATAAAAACTTTAATTTAAACAAATATACCGAGATGCTGTATTATAGAATAGAATAAAAAGAATCTATAATGGTAAACTTTAACTTTTAAAACATATTTAATAATTGAATTGTGAAAAGGGCTGCAGGCCCAGAACAAAAATGATTGGGGTTTCGCTTCACGATTCGAACTGAATTTCTGCCTTAAGGTTCGGTTCTCAAACCCGGTTTTCCAAATCTGTATATATTCAACATTTTAATAACATAATTAAATTTTTACAATTGCCCGATCTAGAGAAGTAGATCTCTACGCAAAATTAGCATCTAACGAATATGGTGGCCCAAATTATTTATCCTTTAAGTATATCCTTAATATCCTTATTTATATTGAAGCAAACCGTCTTTCGGTTTGGCTTAGCTGTTTTTTTGAGAAAATTATTTGGTTCAATGTTAGATTTATATTAATAACAAATATTTATCCGGTATAGATCCGGTTCTGCTCAAAACTGTTCTGCAGCCTTGATTACAGTCATGAACTTGTACGACTTTTGAGTATTATAGCTAACATTATCCAGCAGACTTACCGCTGCGGCCATGATCAGTTCGCTCTGTCGCTGGAGCGTTAATTTTCCACGGACAATCCAACCGGTTGTTGGCGGTGCCGGACGTCCCTCGTCCTGGGGTTTGGAGCCAACAAGAACATTGCCCACATACTCGTAGAGCATTTGCTTATTGATTCCAATTATGTTAAATGCAAGACCGACATTGATTACCAAAAATAGAACTGAAAATTGAAAATGATGTTCAGCATTTGCATTCAACAAGAAATTGTTGTGTGTGGCAATAAACTTGAGGACAGCCCGCGCCGGGGGCAACAGCATCCATACACTTTATCAATTGAATTGAATTTTGTCTATATACTGCACATATATTAATGAATGTACGTATGTAGATTATTGATGTGGTCATCACAGAGCAAAAAACTGTTTAATCAATATTATTATTAAATATACATAATGCTAGTGGGTTTTTTTTGTGTGTTTTCTTTTAAATGTTATTCAATGAAACATTACGTCATGTTCCTGAATAAACATTTAATATGGTTCCTGGGGCTTATCAAATATATTATTTTCTACTTTCTACGTACACACAAACACGGAACACTTAAGTCGCTGCATGATTTGCTTTATAATTATTTGCGAATATGCCGATTTAATAAAGATGTACCCGACAAAGTCTAATGTGTTATATGTATATACGTATATCAAATATATATGTATTTGGAAATATTTCAAAGAAACCGCCGACGATTTTTTTTGAACACAAACGTATCGCAGAACGCCTTTTAAATTCCACGTCTGCTCAGCTCGCGTTTCGCACTCGAACTGAAGCTGACTCAGTTGCAAAGCCTATGCTCAGGCCTTGCTGGAGGCTCTTGCTGATAAGCGACAGTCTCAGCAGCTAAGTGTTGCTCTCCCGCAGATGCTCTTTAAATGTGAAGGGCGGCAACAAATGTTAGCAAGAGAAAGCTTCAGAAATGTATAAAAACTATAATTATATTTTATTATTACAATAAAGTAGACAAGAACTAGGAATCAGACAAGCTGCCCATTCACAACAAGTACCACAAATTACATGTAACAAAAGTAATCGAATTACGGCCTAAGATCTACATTTCATACTGCCTATTCCTAACGTGCGCCTGTATGCCCATGTCCAGATCTAAAGAGCGCGCCACCTTCTGCCTCAGACTGCGGCTTTGGGCGTTCCGCTGTTCCAGTCGTACCAGCAGCAGAACCACCAGCTGCAATTGATTCGGAGCTCTCAGCTGCGTTCTTTTCGGCATCTAGGTTCTTCAGTTGCTGCTGCCACATATCCGCATAGATGCCGTCGTCTAGTTGCAGCAGCTGCTCATGCTTGCCACGCTCAACAATGCTGCCCTCCTTCAGTACCAATATCTCATCTGCGTGTATAATAGTGGACAGACGATGCGCGACAATAATTGTTGTGCGATTGGCACATACGCGTGCCAGTGCTGCTTGTATGTTACGTTCTGTATGCGTGTCCAACGCCGAGGTAGCCTCGTCCAGCAGGACAATAATGGGAGCTTTCAGAAGAGTTCGCGCAATGGCCACACGTTGCTTTTCGCCTCCGCTTAAACGTAATCCTCTCTCGCCAACTTTGGTCTCATATCTATCCGGAAAACCCAAGATTCTTTCATGTATATCCGCTGAGCGCGCCGCTTCATAAACTGCATCAGGACTTGCTCCGATCTTAGCATATTCAATGTTGTAGTAAATGGTGTTGTTGAAGAGTACCGTGTCCTGAGGAACAACACCTGGAAAACGAAGATGGCAGTTTATTTGTGAAAAAAGGTTTTATACATTTTTTTGCTTACCAATTGCCTTTCGTAGACTTTCCTGTTTGACCAACTTGATGTTCTGTCCATCTATCGATATGGAGCCCGTTTGCACATCGTAAAAACGGAAGAGCAGTCGCATAATGGTACTCTTGCCAGCCCCTGAGGGTCCTACAATGGCCACTGTCTTGCCCGCAGGTACCGTAAAGCTTATGTTGCGCAATACACACTTTTCCGGCGAATAGCCAAATGTGACATTAGAAAACTCTATGCCACCGCCAGCTGTTAGCAGCGGTGCACAGCCAGGCGCATCAACGATTTCTTCGTCCTCACGCAGTAGATCAAACATATTTTCCATATCCACAAAATTCTTTTGTATAGCGCGGTAATAGGTGCCAAACCAGTTAAGAGGCATATACAAATCCATGAGGTACGTAGAGAAAAGCACAAAGTCGCCCACTGTCAGGGTTTGGTGATGCACCACCAAATACACGCACAACATCGAACCAGCCAACAGGCCCAGGCAGAGTATAATATTTTGAGCGGTGTTGAGCATATTAAGCGTGAGCATGGAGAGGAATTCCTCCTTTTGATACTTCAATATGGCCTCCCTGTAACAGTCTACCTCGTAGCCTTCGGCACCATAATATTTAACTGTCTCAAAGTTCAGCAACGAGTCCACACTGCGAGCACGCTGTTCATTGTCTGCCAGATTCATTCGCCTTTGGTACTGAGTGCGCCATTCCGTTATGGCAATTGTGGATGCTATTGAGTAGACAGTGTTAGAATTAGCAATAATTTCAAGCTGGATCTGACCTACCTATGTACAAAAACATGGTTAAGAACACAATCAAGCCAAACCACCAGTTGAAGGCATAAATGAAAAATACGACAGCCACAATCAGATCGAGTATGGTAGGCGTTATGGAGAATACAATATAGTTAAGCAGATTGTTAATTGAATCTGTGCCGCGGTCCATTATACGTAGCACCTCGCCCGTCTTGCGCTGCAGATGCCATCTTAAGGATAGCTGATGCAAATGCCGGAAAAGATCAATCTCAATCTCGCGCGTTGTGTACTGCTGTACGCGAATCCAAAGGAAAGTACGCAGATTATTAAACAAGCCCATGCCGCCAGTGCCACCGCCCTGGAGAAACGATAGAGCCACATAAATAAGCACAAAGTCCCAGCGAAATTCGACGGGCTCGATGGTCAGGCTGTCAACTGAAGGGAGAGAGATTAGAGATTATTCACGCCACATGTGATAACGGGAAACATGACCTACCCAACAGCTTGCGATAAATGGGCAGAAACAGTTTGATAACGCGACCAGCGACAAGCAACAATATGCACACAACCACTGCGCATTGTAGCATTACGTCCTTTTTTGGCCACAGATAGGGAAATAGGGTGCGCAGCTTGCGCCAGCCGTTGCGAAATGCAGAACCGGTTGGTATACTACCAGCTGAATCGCTCGATGAGTCGTTCTCTAGACGATGGTGCGGATTAAAGGGTGCCATAATACCGGGCGCTTTCAGGCCCAACACAAAGATGAGCAGCGAGCACAGGAAGCGGGTAACAAACATTCCCATCTCAATATCATCTTTGTTACTGTAGAGTAATATATGGATTAGATTAAGCATTGAGTACAACAGGTACTAGACAAACGAACTTTTTTAAATGGAACCACCAGTCCTCGTGGTCCAAATTGACAATCGCGAGCGCTTCATTAATCAACGCCAAAGTCCAGAAGAGCAGCAAAATAAGGCCGTGGCCACGAGTCGGCACTGATGGCAGCTGATAATGACGCTCCTTGACTATGAGGCATATACAAAATGGATACGAAAAGCACACAACGCATGTGTAAAATATCTGCAATGGAAAGTCTACTAAAAAATTCTCTTAAATAATGGTTATGTGAAGTCTCACCATATAGCCATAAACTGCACCGTCAGGATAGATGCGAGCGTTCAGGAAAAAACGCAGCAGCGCCAGCACCGGCACAAGGAGGAGAAGAAACAATTGCAGCGCATACAGACGGGACTTGGTTATCTGAGTGGGATCCGTGGGTGTAGCATATTTGCGGTACATGAGCAGTTGTATGCCGCCAAAGAGAAGAAGGAAGCCGCCACAGACGGCTGGACCCACTGTGTCCATAAAACAGTGCGAAATTCCATGCCTAGTCCAAATCTCGTTGAACGTCACGTTCGGCGGACAGTACAACATTGTGTGTACCCTGCGGTTATTCAGATGTTATTTTTTTAATAAATTAGGCATACAGTTCGATTGAGACCTTAAACTACTCATGATAATTGCACAAAAGGCGTACGCAAAAAGTGATAATTATTACACGATAAGCGCGTCGGGTGCAGACAATGATAAAAAAAAAACTGGAAATAAATTTTGTGACATATGAGAGTGAGTGACTACTTGTATTTCGACAAAAAGCTGTTTTATTTGTCCGTGCTATTCAAGCACATATTATATGATATTATTATGAAAATATATAATTTTGCGCATCGTTTTATTTTAATGCGCATCTGTTTTCCGGCTAGTTTATATTTCACAATAACATGTCATAGACGAAAATCACCGAAATTATCAGTAAAAAAAAGACGTACATGAGTTTTGTGGGCAGACTACCAAAATTGTATCCACAAAGTTCGAAACAAAAGTTGCAAATCATTCATTGATAATTTGCATTGTTTATTATGCAATTACATTTTCATTGTTTTTTTTATGTCACTCATGAAAACTGTGATTTACATGCTAAAATTCACAATTTTGTTACCTTTACTTACGCTGCTGCGTAGGCTTCGATTATTATTAATATAGTAGTTCGGTTTAAGCAATTGTTCAATGTACATTAAGCAGCTGGGCTTCTATTTACATGTTTTTACTCAAAATGGCACTTAATACTCAAAATGGCACTGTTTTACTCAATTGGGCACTGTTAAGAAATTGATATCGCAAAATAATCGGTGGTAAACGCGGGTTCTGTTTTTAAAAAATCGGTTTTTTTTATTTTGTTTGTAGTTTTATATTAATTCAAAGCACTTTATATGCATATTAAATTTTGTATTTGCATAAAATTTTAGACTTATAAAGATTATTAAAGGTACATTTGAACTTTACGTAGGCATCTTCATCATATCGTTTTAGACATAAGTATTTGAATATTCTTCTTACCGTTTTGTTGATATCTATAAACACACATTTATCTGTTGTAAATAAATATTTTTTATTTCTTTAAAGAAACCGTTTTTAATACTTTACAATTACATTTATAATTAATTATATTAATAGTAATCAAGATCCGTAATTTTTGAACTAAAAGGAAATCAGTTTAAATGATTTATTTGTTGTTTGTTTTTATTTTGTTTTTTTTTTTTCTTCTGAGCGCCTAGAACGAATCTATTGAAGTAGAAAGTACATTTGAACAATTCGTTAAAAATTGTAAGCTTAAAGGAATTTGCATTGTAGTTTTAAAGAATTCACAAATTACATTTAAAGCTTTTTACACTACAAGCGCAAAACTTTTAAGCAATTTTTAAAATTTTCTAATTTTGAGTTTCTCACGGTTACGCTAAGGTCTGCTTTCTTAGATATACATTTTTTATTTTTGTATTACCTTATAGTGTGTTTTTCGTGAGTTGCAGTACAATGTATACAGTTTTAAATTTAAGGACTGCCCAATAAAAGTTGAGAATATATTCATGGTTAATAGTTCATTCATTCATTCATAGTTCATGGTTAAAAATGCACACGCTTAAAATGGCTATCAACTAAATTGTTCAACTTGGATTTAACTTATATATCACAAACAAGTACATTTAATATGCATCATTACTAGTAGGTACTATAGATGGGCCATTTGGCCGGTCTCTATGCTTACAGCTACGAGTTGATTTTAGCCAGGAGTGGCTGCGTCACGGCGCCACTGGTGGCACCACGCGCCGTCACCAGTGGCCTTGGACACTCTTCTGCCAAAGAGAGGTCATGTCCGTGAACATGGCAATTCGAGACAGTTGGTGGCTTGCAGAGAAGCTGCTTATAGTTCTTGACTAGATAGCCATACGGATCGTCACTGCTTAGATTTGGAATGTTTTGATTACTACGGCTGCTACCATTGCGCTCCAGATTGAGGGCCGTCGAGGCGGGCAGCGGTGGTGTCATGTTGCTAAGCAGCGGCGTTTCGTCGCAATCGGCGAACTTAATCCGCTGTCCGCTGCCCGTACTGCCAGTTTCCGGCGTATCGGAGGCATCGCTGCGGCTGCTCTTCAACAATGTTGAGATCGTAGGGGATGGCTTTAGGCGATTCCTAGCCTGCGGCGCAGGCTGCAGAATGCCGATCAGATTGGAATTGGAGTTGGAGTGTGCAGGTTGGCCGTGGTTACTGTGGTGATTCTTCAGCGTACCGCTCAGTGGGAGACGAAAATTGGCCAGCTCCCAGCAATCGGTTTCAGCTGCATCCGAGCTGGTTCTACCTGCCTCCATGCTGCGAAGCGAACGACTGCTAAAGATATCACATGGCTGCTGCTGCTGCTGTTGTTGTTGTTCAGCAGCCAAATAGTAATTGTTGGGCTCAGTCTTTTGATTCGGATTATGCTCAAAGCAGCTGCCATTTAGCTTGGGCGAACTGGAGCTAATCTTGCGCTTGACCCGAAGATCGGGTGAGGCTTCCTTCTCAGCAGCGGGCACAGCTATCGTCGGCACTGCCGCTGCCAATGTGCCCATGACGCCCAGCTCTGAGTATTGTTTGTAGAAGGTGTGCGTCTGACGCTGCGGTTGCTTAAGCGACGAGCGTCTCGTTAGCATCAGCTTGTTGGCAGATATGAGTGCATCCGGCTTGGGCACCTCGCCCTCGAGCCAATACGTCAACATTTCGCCCTTACCCTTCATAGGCACCAGACCACGTCGCGTTGTCAGAAAGCTGCCAAACTCGTCCAGCGCCAACTTGGTCGTTTCGCTTATGTGTATTTTCAGTGCTTCACCATTGGACTCCATGCGGGAGGCAGTGTTCACAGTGTCGCCAAACAGACAATAACGCGGCATCTTCTGGCCCACAACACCGGCTACACATGGGCCCGTGTGCAGCCCGATCCGCAACTTCAATCGATCGTCTGGTCTGTGGTGTATCCTAAAGTTATGCACCGCCTCGAGCAGTGCCAGGGCCAGGCGCGCAATTTCACGAGCATGGTAGTTCTCATTGCGTATGGGCAGACCGGATACCACCATGTAGGCATCACCAATAGTCTCCACTTTGTACACGTCAAAGTTCTCCACAATCGAGTCGAAGCAGGTATAGAGATCGTTAAGGAACTGAACTACTTGCATGGGTGTGCTCTCTGCCGAAATAGCCGTGAAGCCGACAATGTCGCTGAAGTAGATGGTCACCTGGTCAAAGGTCTCGGCCACCACCGGCTGACCACTAATCAATTGAGCAGCAACGCTCTGTGGCAGCAACTGATAAAGTAGCTTCTCGCACTTTTTCTTTTCCTCCAGATAGTCCTGAGTTCGCTCCTCGACAAGTTCCTCCAGGTTGTTGGCATACATTTCCATGCGTTTCAGCAGGTTGTCCACAATATTCCCAGTCTCGTTGTCCCTGTGGGCGCAAATTAAAATTGAATTATTTTTATTTAATTCGGCTATAAATCTTTTTATATCATATAAGTGCGTAAAGCCGCCCTCGCCCGTGACACGTATTAAATAAATTCTCTCAAAAAATCTTTCATACAACCATATTTTGCTAATTTGCCAATGATGAAAAACCTCAAATCGCTTTGAAAATAAGTTTGATGCGAAGCGTACACAATTTAAAGATACTCTCACATATTTTCAAAAGGCTAAAACAAATTTATACAAGTATATTAAATCTTCGACGTGCCGAATATATCTTTTCTTAGTCGTTTTGTAGTGTATTAAAAAATTTCGAAAGATTCAAATTTGCCGGTATACAGAAATAATTCTATTTATGCTTACAAAATGTGACAACAATTAACCTCGGTTCACAGATGTTCAAAAAGAACTGACCCACCCTGATTATACGTTGTTCAAAATAGTCTTACTTGTTAAACTTCCTTATCATAGACTTGAGCGTATTAAAGTCGGGCCGCTCCAATGGGTCTTCGGCCCAGCAGCGTCTTATGATGCCAATAACGTCCGCCTTGGTATCACCGCACGGTTCCAGCTCTGGACGGAAGGGCTTATTCAGTTGCGGTTGGTAGTTCTTAACCAGCTCAACGATTTCTGGAAGAAGTATATAGACCGCTCTGCATTATAATTCAGACAAATTTTTGTAAAAATTGTAAATTGTAAGTTATTTGTTTGTGTTTCAGTTCAGGGACTAACCCGAATATAATGCCACATAGGCCACTAAAACCGCACACTAACACACGCACAAATACACATAAATATACATTTCAATCTTAATATGTACTCGAAAACACAACATTTGGCACTTTTTTGCCCCTTTATAATGACCAGGGATACGGTCAGGCGGCAATCGACGGATGAACAATATAATGACAGACCTGGTGTCTGGCGCCACAATGCTAGGAATTGCCTGATCGTTGCCTTCTATTGTGAGCGTGAGGTCCAGGCGGAAGTTAAGATATTCAATCTGTTAATGCGCAGTGCTAGGAAAACTGCAAGCATTGACTTTGAGAAGAATGGGCCGAGAGGTTAGTCAATACGTGACTTTCAGGACTATCAAGGATTACGCCTAAGCTCCTTTTTAGACCCTACAGATGCTGCGGTTATATTTGGAGATTGTGATTGCGAAAAGATGCTTTGCGACGGGGGTTCATGCAAATGCGGCTGGGATAAGTCACGCATCGACTGGCTGTGGGAATTGGAGCAGCGGCAACAGTCCTGGCTGAATGAGAGCCAGAGGTCCATACCTCCAACAGCTCAAAGAGTGAAAAGTCGGGTAAAAGAGCCTCAAAAGAATATGGGCTGCTGGAAATGGCTGCGTTTTAATTGTGGCTGTGCCTCAGATACCGAGAGCTTTGATTTACCCTATCGCAGTAGCACTTGTTTATGAGTTGTTTTGATATCATTTTGTGTAATTTTCCACCAAAATAAAAACATAAAACTTTGTGTCAATTCATTTGCTCTTCAAATCGCTAACAACTAATTAGCCTCATGAAAATCAAATAAAATATTTATAAATATTTACAAAAAAAAAATAATAAATAATAATAAATAATAAAAAAATAATTTAGGCTGTAAAAAAATTATCAACCCGAAATAATCTGTATGCACATCCGAATTGCGACTCCTAAATCTTGCAAAACTTTTTTGTTTATGTTTCGAAAAGAGTTTCCAAATTTAAATTATAAGAAATATTTAGTTTTATATTTCGAGTAAATTTAGACTTAAGTGAAATTTTCTGAAATACTTTAGAATAATGAGCCCTTTTTTGATTGTTGTAGATTTTTGTGTGATTTTGCATTTAGAGCGACTGTTTAGAGTGTGTTAGTACATTCTGCTTATTTCCTGCTCACAGAACTTTAAAAGAGGGAAAAGTTATGCAAGTCATCTTTGTAAGACGGGCCCGTGCTGCACAATTCTATTTTTGAACTTATGAAGTAAGAATAAGAATCTAATCGGATACATCTTTCAATTCACAGCAATTCTCGAAAAAAATAAATTAAGAGAATTGGAGTGAAAAATATATTTAGCTAGAAAAATGTTATGCAATAATAGTGGATTCCAATATTTTTATTATTTGATATTAGCAAGAATCACATGTATGCATGTTGGAAAAAGTTGGGCCGTCACGTAAAAACTGGGGACGCGACCATATTTAGTTGGTACTCGACATATCTCGCTTTGGGACAAAAAGTTGAGAGTTATTCTAGAAAACTTAATAAACGTAATATGGCAATACAAAACTTTTTTTTAAATCTCCAATTTTGGTTCTCGAATATGCGCTTAAAGTTTTTTAGATGAAGAGACAAGGAGTGACAATTTCTATGCGAATAGTCAGTTGTTGCATACCTTGAGGGGTCTTCTCATGGGCACACTTGCCCAGATAGAAGGGGCCCTGCCGTGTGGTTATCTCATGCACTATGATCCCAAATGAATAAACATCGCCCTTCTGTGTGCCTTCGGGCGCACGTTGATTTTCAAGCCGTAACAGTTCAGGCGCAGTCCATAGGCGCTCTGCAGGTGGAAATGGTTACATATGATTGTATGTATATATTGGACGCCAGCTGTGGGCCAGGCCACTTACTTTTCCAGTAGGCATGGCTATTGCAGTTTTCAATATCGCTCTCGACATCGTGATGGGTGCGCCGCAGGCTATGCAGCCCAAAGTCGGTGATCTTGAGCACAAAACGTGAGTCTACCACGCAATTGGAGGACTTGAGATTGCCGTGGGAACGTATATCGGAGCTGTGTAGAAACTGCATGCCCCGCACAATATCGTGCATTAGCGACAGTTTGAACATCCAGTCCAGCTGAAATTGCTCGTTCTCCAGTATATCCTGCAGCGAACCTTTGGGACAGTATTCGGTAAGCAAAAAACTGCGACGCTGATCCAGGCAGGCGCCGTAGAACTTGACCAGGTGATCATGCTGTAAATCCTTCATGCGCTTCAATTCCAGCATTAGACTGCGCGATAGTATACCCTGAACATTTTCCAGCTCGATGGGTTTGATGGCCACCTTGCTTTTCCTGTACATGCCCACAGGTATGAAGATCTGACGGTCGCCATTTATAGAGCCCATGTCCTCCGACATGAGCGTCAGCTGGGAGCTCTGCTTGACCAACGAGTGAAAGGAACCGCGCATGCCATGATCTGCAGCATCCCGAAACATAACATCCTCCAATGAAACCTTCCAGCTCATCGAATTTATCTCGGCCTCGGCAATATAATGTCGATAGCCGAAGAAGAAGCATACGGCCATAACGATTACCATTATGCCAAGAATGATCGAAAGAATGGCATAGCCAGGCAGAGCTAGGAAAGATGACAGAATTGGGAAAAAGTAACGAAAATTTGTAGTTTTATTATTATTATTTTTTTATAAATATATATATATTTTTTTAAGATAACAAATGTTGCCAGTTGATGTGTTGTAGGTGTGCATAAAGAAAGTTTTTCTGTATTCAAACCAGCATCCTTCTGTTAGTAAAGGATACTGGTTCGAATTTGAGAAAGTCACTTTTTTTGTTAAAGCCGAAAGCCTCACTGTTGTTTTAAGTTAGATACATTTTTTGGGCTACAGCTGATATATAAAAAGTCAACTGCACAAACTAAGGTATTTAAGATCAAATATTATTACTTACAATTGTCCGGGCATAGCGAGCCATCGTAACCACAGATGGGGCGATCGGGTGGCGCCTGTTCACGACCACCAGCCCAATGTATTTCCTTTTCTGATGCAAACTCTAGACGATTGTGCAGGAAATGTGCGACAATCTCAAATCTGCCAGTGCTGGGATTCATGTCCAGCAAAGAATATGCCGAGATGCGATCTCCATTCGAGTCGATGGTCACGTTCCCAGTAATGCCCGTAAAGCTGCGATTCCACATGCGTCGCACCATATCGGTGCCGTTGATGGGTCTTGTGAGCATGCTGGGATCCTCACGGATGCTATCGTTGAGAGCGTTCGCGTAGAGGAGCACGCCATCAAAGAAGGAGGTTACGAATGCCGAAATTGGTTCATTCTCGCTGAACGTGTAATTGTATTTTGCCGAGGCGATGTCTTTGATCTGTAAATGGAGTACACAGCACATCAATCACAGCCAGCAGTAGTTCCACTTATCTGCGTGTTCTAGCCCTGACTATCTGCGCAATTCTGTTGCCTTAATTGCTTTGGCCCCCGTGAAATTGAATTACAACTACGCCGACAACAAATCGCAATGGCAAAGGCAACGCCAACTACTACATTGGCGAGCATTTGCCAGAATCCGTCGCACATTTCCAAGTTGTGCGTCGCGAGTCCATCAGCTTGTCGTCCAAGAGCCCCAAGGCAGCTTAGCCAGAATGGGCGAAGAATTTTTGCCAAGGCCCTCCTACCCCACCATAGCCGTTGGCATTGGAACAGGGAAATGCAACTGAAACCTTTATCAGAAATATTCTCATGCCGCATAAATCAAGGGCATGGCCAAACGCCAAGTCGCAGTCATGATCCTAATCTTTCAATTTTTTGCAAATGTCCCACAACTTTAATGCACGCTTGATATTTAATGTGTTAAATGTGCCTATGCAGTTTCATGACGATAGACGAACATGATTATATCGAAGCTTGTGTTTATACGCATCAGGAATATATATGCTTATAAGGCTTCTTTAATGCGTTACACATTTCGTGACAAATATGAAATACCCACAACTAGGGTATGACACGACCAAAGCACATTACGGAAACACGTGTTATTGTGGCCTGCTGAGTTGGTTAAGGTGCCGCTCAGAAGTTAGCCAACAAATGCTTTCAGAGGCTACACTTGGCTTCTTCTTTCCACACTCTGAAGTCAGAAATTGTTTTAAGAGGGTATATAAATGAAGATGTTTCTATATATTGTTATTTTTTTTACTGACCTCTTTAAGCCCATCTGACTAATCGATCTTTCGAGCTAGTTTGAGCTGGTAGTTCCCTAAAGATTAAGGGGCTGGTTTTGTACATGAATCTCTATGGAAATCATATTACGTGTTAGGGAACAGTTTAGCTAGTTAAATGTAGGAGACTTCTAAGTCGAGTGAATGAAATATTCTCGCTTGTTTGTTGGCGTTGTTGCCCTTGTAATTTCCTTGTACACCTACAGAAATATGTTTACAAATCCACAAACTGCTAAAAATATACGTACGTAGTTTGCTAGTAGGAAACTGCAAAGTGTGCTGGCGCTGAGCACGTGCACTGGCATAGAGTATGCATGAAGCTCAAATCAAAAAAATCGCCAAGAAAATAATAAAAATATAAACAAGGAGGAAGAATAGTCTCGGCACGCCGAAGATTAAACACTCTTTCAGACTTATGGATTAGAAGTGTTGTGATGCAAACGTTTTTTTCCCGAGTGTCCCTTTAGGGTTTATATGAGATTGTTTGATATGTTACGCGCGTGCAGACACGCTCATAATTATGAGAAAACGGAAAAGTTATCCAAAAAGTATTCGACTGATTCTTTTTATAGCGCTATATAATATAGTAGTAACACTTTAATAACAATTATTTTTTAAGCATGTTTGAAGTCAAGTGAGTTTATCTCAAAGAAGGTAGAAAATTATAGACCCACTGCAAGGGTACAAGGATTTAAAGTAATTTGCCGAAAAGAAGAATGTAAAAGACTCCATACGCTGGCAATTCAGTTCCAAAGCCAATGCAAAGCCCCCATTCTGCCGCGAAACTCACCTCATTAGATACCTTTGTGTAGGCGTCGTCATTTGGCTGCTTCGGCGTGACAGTTAACATGGCTGTGTAGGCCTTTTTGGCGCGTTCATTGTTGAATTCGGTGTCGTTCTTATCATACCAGGGCAGCGACGTCATATATGGCACTCTGGAATAAGGAAACGGGCAAACAAAGTTTTAGATGCATCAGATGAAGATACTTGCGCTTGTGTGTATGCCAGTGTTTGTGTGTGAATATGTGCTAATGTACCTAATTCGAGAGTCTTATCAGTTTGGTATTACAATGTGCCCCGCAGTTCGCACTGTCGCCTTATCAATGACTTTGCGTTTAGTCTTAGCTCCTGTCTGATATGCGTCATAAATTATTTATTTATAGAAATCTAAATTGCAAAACGAAAAACGATTTCTATCTCTGTCAGTGTCTGTGTAATTGCACCTCCCCACATACAGTGTCAATAAACGATATATAGATGCTGCGGTCGAACCCATTGAAAGTACTTAAAAAAAAAGGGTATGCTGTTTTTTGGTAAATATATGCAAGGGGCAGGCATGTATGTATGTCTGTCCTTCTATCTGTCTGTATGCCTGTATGTCTGTATGGGCAACTATTATAAAGCCTAGAGTTTCGAAATTCCTAAAACATAGTGTCAAGTTTTATGTACACAACAAGTTTAACTTTTTTCCTTTTCCTCGATATCTCCCTCAATTTCTATAATATCCGATGTTAATAAA